TGCAGGGTCTCTGCTGCTTTACAGCAGAGTGATGGGGAACAGATGTTCCAAGCCATCTGTGCAACTGACCACAAGGGGCAGCAATGTCCTAAGTTACTGAATCGCCAGCAGCATAAGCATGCGTGTGCAAATTCTACCACGGCAGGAAGAATGGTTGGTAACAAAACAGAAGAGGTGAAGAAGCTCTAACATTGGGAATAATGGGAAGAGTTTCCAAGTCAGAAGTGGGGATGTGCAAATGCACCAAGGCGGCAGGCGAAAGAGAGGAGGCTCCAGTCAGAATCGCTTGCATCTCTTTTTCTTGCCCCCCTGTTGCTGCTGCTTCTCTTTCCGTGCCCCGGCCGTGGTAAAGGTGATGCAGTGAGCGTCCAAGAAGTCCAGCAGTTTTCCCAGGGAAATCTTAATGCCATTCTGCTTCAGCTCTGCCTGCAGCCCTGTCAGTTCAAAGGGCTGGTAAAAAAGGATCTTCTGGTACAGGGCTGGGTTGGAATGGATGTAACGTCTCACTGCCTCCAGCGTATCTGCCTCTCGGGCTGCAGCCTGAGAGGCTGGGATCCCCTCGTCCTCTTCAGATGTAAGGGCATTGGTCTCAAACTCATTGGAAGAAGAGCTGGAAGTGAGAGGGAGAAGAGATCTATGAAACACACGTGGTGGAGTTACCGGCTTAACACCCTTGCATGACTTTCTCTAGTGCTCTGAATTCTCTGACTTTTTAGGTCACATGGAAACAAGTCTGACAGGTCAGACTTAGCGTGGGCAAGTGTGCAGCCAACTTCCCTTCTCAGTTCCACCAATGACCCTCCCACTGTACCGGTAGCATCTCCTGCTCTTCCACTCTTGGCCCCCTCGCAGATGGCTGTGCTGGCGGTCCACTGCCTGCTCCTGTCCTATGGGACTCCATATGCACAGCTGGGTTGTTGCACCTCCACTGGGACCAGCCACGGTCCCTGCTATTCTACTCAGCTTTGCCAGTGCTTCTCATTTTGACATCCAGAGCCCTAGCCATCCCAGGCCTGGACCTTTACCAGCCACAGAGTATCAGACCCGGCAAACTACAGTTTTGTGATCTGACAAGAGGTCACTAGGACTTCAACTTAACCCCCCTGGAAAAGGATACGTGAGTGAAACAGCCCCGGACAAATGGCAGGCCCTTCTCTACTCTGAAGAGGAGCTGAGGTGTCTCCCCCCTTTGCCAGACCCACGCCAGTAATGAGATTTTCCCTGCCGTTTCAGTCCCTGACCTCTGTGATCCAAAGGAGTTGTCACTTCCAGCCACAGAAGAAGCTGCAGACTCCTGAGATGCTGACAGCATCTGCCCATCAGCACCTCCCACCAGAGACTCTTTCACTGGAGATGTAGCTGGAGACAAAGTAGCTCCCTTTAGCCCTCTGGCTCCTCCTGGGTGGCCTTTAGTTTCATCTCTTTTCTTAGTCCTCAGGTAACCTGCTGTAGGGGGGCCCTCTGAGCTGTCAGCATCACCACTGCCCAGAACTGGCAAGAAAGGGACCGAACCCCCCTGCTTCTGCTTGCACCCTACACGGGGGGCTTTGGAACTCTCTTCACTCCGTTCAATCAAGTCTGCCTGGGGCTGGCTGGGGAGCTTGGCAGAGGTCTTCCGTCGGGGTGGCTGGGAGGATGGGATCTCATCCTCCGAGTCAGAGGACACGATCTGATGAGTGTACTGGAATATCTCCTTCAGCTTTAACACCATCTGTCGTTTTGGGAGAGGACGGACTCCAAATCTACAACACAGAGGTGAAGCATTAGTTAAGCAACCTGGTAAGTTTAGGCTGACGCCGTGACGACCCATCTTAGTGGCGCTGCAGCAAGGGTGGAGGAACTGAAGGGTCCAGTCCCACATCAAGTCTGCAATCCAGCCATCACTACTAACTGGGTCTCAAGCAATGTTTACTGGAGCTTCACGAGATTTTCTCTTTCTCAAGCTACTTCCCTGCAGGTTTCTGCACATTAAGAAACTGGCCTTTGTCTTCAAGGTGCTCACGGAGTCATCACTAACCTGTTCAGTTGCTTCTTCAGCTCTGGGGTCTCCATGATGGAATAAGCTGGGATGGGTGTTATGGGAACTCTAGGGGGGTGGTTTCTCTTGTGATAAGGAGCCTCTGTAGGAAAATGAAATTATTACAATGAAATGAGAATAAACATATCGACATGGAGGGTCCTGGGATTGGCTGATGATTTCTAGTCTTTGTGAGAGATATTGCAAAGACAAATCATAGTAATAGCCATTTTTCTCCAAAGGATCCCAACAGCTTTTTACCAACTACCTCTTCTTCATTTTAGACAGAGCTGTGAAAACTTTGGGGTGTTTGGGTGGACCCATGTTGTGAGGAGAGGCAGCTTTTGCAAGGCTGCGTTACTGAACTTTGTAAAGTTGGCATAAACCATGTCTGTAGCATAAGGGAGGGATGGGAGAAATTCAGAGGAGTGGGTCTGCTGTTGCAGAAGCAAATTAACAGGTTTTAAGTCTTGGGAGAGTCAAGTTAGAACACTCAGCTGGGAGCTAAAGCAAAAAGTTTTAAGTCTAACTTGACTCTCCCAAGAACACTCAGCTGGGAGCTAAAGCAAAATGAGTTTGATGGCCACTTCCTAATCCCTTACTGTGAAACAATCACCCAACACGCTGAGATCCTGGATAGGAGGAGATACCTCAGTCTACAGAGATGTAAAAATTGTAATCAGATAAGCTCTCGAGCACTGTGGAGAGGCAAGTGTTACGTCAATTTTATTGATGTTTAAGCTGAAGCACAGAGATGTTCAATTACTGCCCAAAGTCACACAGGGAATTGGTATTCGAGATGGGAAAAGACGCGGTTCCCAACCTAGACCACATTATTTTCCTATTTGTAGGTCAAGATCTGGGTGTATTTCAAGGGCTTTTGGGGAGGGGCCCAGAACTGGATGGCGGGTCAGGATTGAGGGGCACTGTCTGAGCTTTAAAGGAAAGCTTGCGTGAGGCCAATCTACAGTCTGCCTAGCACTTGCCAGTGCTGTAAGTCTCCCCATTTCTTGGATGCCACATTCACATAACTAAACAAGGACAAATGCAATTGTTCTACTGAGGAAGTAGCTGATCTGAAGGCCTCACATGATATTAACAGTTTTGGGGTCTCCCACACAAATGTTTGAATTGTAAAGATCACATTCATAGCAAACTTTACCCTCAACAGCCAAGTATCCAGTAGGATTCAGATAAAAAGCACACCTGTGTTTTGATCTTGATACTGGTCACCGTAGAAACTTCCCTGGGAAATGGGACTGATGAAACAATGTGAATGAAACACAAGACCGCTGTGTTCCAACTACGCTGACTGTCAAGCAGAATCCTCAACCTTGCAACACTGTGAAACTGGCCCCTGGCTTTGAAAATTATGTGACACCAGCCAGTGAACAACCTACACACAAGGTGACCTGCAGACAGAGTGAGCAGTTCAAATGAAAACAGCCCACTCCACAGCAACGATTCTGGTCTTCAGACTTACCGGGAGTCTTTAGGGGCTGGATACTCTGGGCAGCTGCTGCAACAGACACTCTCTGTGTGAGAGGAAGAACCTCTGGGAGTTCATCTTTGTCCCAGTCCTCCCAGACTTTTGAGTTTAGAAAACTTGGCCTACTGACCACTGAAGGATGTGCCTCAACCGGAGTCTCTTCATGACCAAACAAAGTCTTTCTATGGTCAATAGCATTTCCTCGAAGAGGAGTGCTACCTGTCATTTCCAGGGCTCTGGCGGGGCTCTTCCACTGGAGCTGCTGAGAGTCACGTTTTCCACGGATGGGACTGCTGGTATTTGCATAATCCAGTCTTTCAAGCACCTCACCGTTATCTTTGAGTGGCGACAGATGCTTGACACTCCAGCATTCATCATCAACTGGGAGTGGGGGTTCATCACCCAGCAGGAAGCTGCCACTCGAATGAAGCGGAACCACTTCCTTCTCTTCCTCACTGTCCTCTACCTCAACCACACTGACGTCGGTTTTATTCTCCAGTGGCAGCTCCAGGAATGGAAGACCTCGCTTGGGCGAAGACAGGCTTTCTGAAGACTTCTCTTTCACACGGACACAGGCAGGTGAGAGTGGAGCTGGAGACACAGGAGAAACTTGCACAGAAGCCTTCCAAGAACGACCTAACGGGCTGTCAGGAGAGGATTTTTTGCTGCCTGAAGAGTTCTCTGGATGCAAATGTTTTTGTGATGATGTTGCCAGTAACAGATCTGAAGTGATCTCTGGAATCTTCATAGGTTCCCCAGCTCGTTTATTGTCACTATTATTTACCAAAAAAGCTTTAGTCCTGTGCTGAGACCCTTGACTCCTCAAACAACAAAAACTTGTTGTCTGGGTCTGAGTTGAGCAGTTCCTGCTTCTGGTAAGAAGAGGTGTGTCTGGCACCAACCACGAGGTGTCCACACTAGAACTCTCTTCATGGCTCAGATTCAGTCTGCTATCAATACAGGTCCTTCCCTGGTTATTAAGAGGCCCCTCTTCTGAAAGCTTTGCAGCATTCTCAGTGGGCACCTCATCTTGACTTCCTAGTGACATTTGAAACGGGCTCCGGCATATTTCAATGTCAGCAACTGAGAAGGGTCCTGATTTTGGTACCTCATGCTCCACATTCTTACAATTAACATCTAATTGCCTGGAGATTTCCATTTCCCTCTGGGAAAAGTCAGAACCTGCTTTCTCCTGCATTTGTTTTAACTCCATTTCTTCATCAGAATCCAGCAACAGAATAACATCAGCCTCTTGGTTCACATGAGAAGCAGCATTTTGAGAGGTCAGGCCCAATGATGAGCATGTTGGGACAGGTTTTTGCTTCTTAAAATCAACGTGGGGAGACTTTGCTGGAGAAAGCACGTTCCTGATCTTCTCCAGTTCTGAAGAATCAGCCTGTTCGTTGGCTTTTTGGCAGGATTCACAATCAGACTGAAAAAGTCTTTTATTTTTATTTCGCTTTGATGCAGCTACAGGAGACATTTCTGTGGATACTCTGGAAAATGTCCTATTTGATTTTGGAGACACAGGTGATGAACCAACAGCTGGCAGAACCAGTGTGCAAGGATTCATAAGAGGACTGCTACACAACTCACTCCTAACTGACAGGATGTCTTTCTGTGACTGACGGTGAACAGGTGAATTATTTTCCTCAATATGTGTTAAAATCGTAATCTCTCCTGACTCTCTGTGGTCTTTATTTAGTGGCGCAGGGTCATTATGTTCCTGTTGGATTGTGGAAAGCTCATTTTTATTGAGGTCAGCACCATTTTGTCGACAGCTAAGGAACAGTTTTTCCCAGACACCATCCTCTTCTTTATCTTGTGAAACCTGAGATGATCTAGAAACAGTCACAACTTTGGACATTCTCTTAGAGGCTTCTCTTTCATCAGAGGCTGCACCAGGGGAAGCCACATCATCACTAGACTCACCAGGCTTATCCAACAAATGCACAGAAGTGATTTGTGTAACACTCGTAGTCCCACTCCTATTTAAACCTGGGATTTTTTTTTTCTGCCCAGGTGATTCACAGCTGGATCTTCCCAAGTCAAAATTCTCATTCCATTCTTTAACTTTGCTCCTCATTGAAGGAGATTCAGACACCTTCACCTCTTTATTCTCAGTCTGTTGGTTCAGATTTTGGGCCTCCTCTGTTTCACTGTCAGTGCTGCTGCCTGAGCCTTCTTCCATCTCTGTTTCACCTTGAACAATCTTTCGCTGAGTGGCAACAAACTCATAAATTTCCTCCAGTTCCTGCTCAGCCACTTTCTCATTGTCGTCTTCCTGGTCTTTAGGTTTTAGCAAAGCTACATCTTCCTCATCTTCATCTACCCACATTGACCTCAAGAGCTCCTGGAAGTTCTCAGCTCTGTTCTCACAATTCTCTTCTTCCTCCACAGAGAAAAGATCATCTCCTGAGTCCACCCCAGCTTGCTCTTGCTTCTCCCCAGGGCTGTTCCCACAAACAGTGATCAGTTCACTCACCCCAAACCTGCAATGATACAATGGAAGGTTATGGTTTCTCTCCACCAGTTGGCTGGCCCAGTAGCACCCTCACACAGATGTCCTTACATCAATCACGTGCCTCATCTCCATTGGGTACGTCAGCTCAAATCTAAGCCTAACATTCAGAATCCCTCTTCCCAGCTGATACCTGAAAGCACCAGTCCCACTTCTATTTAAAAGACTAAAATTCCTAGCACCATTGACAAAACCAGGAGGCAAATCACAGCTCTCGAAAGGAGCAGGATGATCGTGTTTACAATTTTTCTGTCCCCATCATTGACTCTTTTGCTAAGAAAGCTCTGGTGTCCAAGTAGCTTTTCCTTGAAACACAAGCTAGTAGGCTCAGTACAGATCGTCCCAGAGCAGAGAACATTTAATACCCTCAATGATCTAAATTTCCCACACTGCAAAAAGGGGCAGAAGGTTAGGTGCAAAGCACAGAACTTCAGTCAAACCAAAAGGCTTAGAAAATAGGGTTGACATGTACCATCGATCAGACTGACAACATCCACACAAACTCATCAGCCTGGCTCTTGCTACACTGCGACTCCAACCCATAGTCTGTTCTCTTTACACCTAACTATCCTGACACTCATTAGGCATAAGAACTACGACCCAGTTGGTGAATATGTCCTCTCTAATTAGATGCAGTTTCCTTAAAGTGACACCATCAATTTGAAATATATTCCGTTGAAAGCTCAAGTTTTACACTTTCCCCGAGTCCTTGTGTCCATTTTTGTGATTTTACAATTATATTTTTTCTTGTTTCTAAAAATCTGTTTCTGTCCCACTACTGTGATGACAAACGTCATGGGAAAATGACTGGTTGTTACTACAGAGAAAGCATAGAAAATATTGAATGTGTTTTTCTTTCACCTCCTTCAGTCTAAATCATTAACTGTTGCTTGTAAAACTAACAGGTCCACATTTTCAGAGAGAGATTTTTAAGTTGATGGAATCCCTTAAACCTGTCCATGTTTTTTAAGGTTTATATCTGAATTGCACTTAAGTGTCATGAAATGACAGTAAGACTAATACTTACTGCAAGTTAGTGTTACACACAATATTGATCTTCTCGCAGCAGGTGCTCTGGAGATTAACTAATTACAGTTAGAGAATGTCTGATGAAAGGCATGCTAATTATTATTATATCACCACCAGCAGGCAGCAGCAACAACAGAGACCATGGAATCAAATGCTGGATAGGAGGCTAGAGGAAGAATGGACTGGCTTGTTCACCCTCCCCCCGCATACCTTACCCCCTGGCTATAATGGGCCTGTGCTGACAGGTGTAAGTTGGCAGAAACACCCAGTGAGAAGATGAGGGAAGTGACACTTTTGTGACCAGCGTTTCACTGAAAAAATACACCAAGAACTCAATCAAGTTTGTTGTAGTGTGTCAATCAAGGAATGAAAATGGCAGGCTAGATGGGAGCAGGCAAACTGGAAGTTTGTTGCAGTGTGTCAGTCAAGGAATGAAAACGGCAGGCTAGATGGGAGCAGGCAAACTGCAAAACACTGAGCCCCACCAAATACATGAGCTGAAAAGACTTTACCTAAATCAGTGCAGCCTGGGGTAGTCACCACTACAGAAACCTGGCTGTAAATTCCTGGGCTAGGACCCCAAATAAATCCCACCACATAAGTGACTAGACAGCAGCGTACACACCTGATAGCGAGAGCTCTCACATCAGAGAGCGCCTGGGATGAGACAGTGGTCTCAGCTGCATAGAGGTACTGCAGAAACGCCCGGGCTGCCTCAACTGTCACTTCACTCAGCAGCACTCGACGGGTCTTCCCATCCTCATCCTCTTCCACCAAGAACCCTTCACTGTGAACCTGAGGGGGAAAAGAAAGAAGCGAAGCCATGTCATCTGTCAGCAAGAGAGACGTGCAGGGGGATCAGCAGCAGAATGCCCACACCAGAACAGACCGTTCATCTGCCAAATCCTCTGTAGCCAGTCCCTGAGGCTTCGGCGTAAAGCTACAAGGTCAAATACACGATGTTTTTATGGGCGAGAGGGTACTTCCTGACCCCAGCAGCCTTCACCCTAATACAATGTCCGATCCCCTCGTGTGACTTTATCCAGCCCCTGTCTAAACCCAATAGCTGTACGCCCTTCTACAGCAGTGAGCTGCACTGGCTGACCCTATGTGCTTGGCTTGGTTCTAAATTTACCAGGCACGGATTGCCCTGAGTGGCCTCTTGCTTTCCTGTTATGGGACAACACAGAAAGCAGGGACTGATCGGCTCTTCCCATCTCTTTCGCAACCAGAATCAGACCCAGGTGAATCCACCTTGCTGGGATGCTTCAACCGCTGTGCACCGAGAGCAGCTACTGCAGCCTCTGGGGTTCTCTTTGAGGGTCCTGAATGTCACCCAAAGGCTACATCCAATACTCAGGACAAGGGCTGTGACTCTTCGCTTGTGCTGAAATGTAGAAATACAGTAAAGTAGTAGTGAGAGGCAGCAGAGGCTAGCTGCTCGGGTACAAACCCACGGGGATGTTTGCTTGGAGGCTAGCCGTGCTGCCGCTCACCACTGCCTGTGCTGCACTGGCTACACGGCCATTCTTAGCGTGCTAGAGCCACAATAACTGGCCTGAGTTTGCCTACACAAGCAGGGAGTCAATCCCCCAATTCCAAGTGCAGCCATAGCCAAACAGAACACATAGGCTCCCCATTGCTTCTAATCCCTCTTTTGACTCCTGGTGGCTCTAAGTCTCTGAAAATGTGGAGTCCCCCGGCCAACAGAGAGACTAAATGGAAAACACCACCCTGCAGAAAAGGGAAAAGATCCGCACAGAAGGGATTACACATATCCCAGAGGGGTCAGACCCTACAACCTTTATGTACACAAGTAGTTCCTACACAGGCAAGTAGTTAATCAGGTAAAAAAGGGTTGCGGGGTTGAGCTCTGGGTCAGTAATATGGGGAGTGTAGCTAATCTACATGGGGCTAAACCCTGACCTCAGCACTCCCAATTCCCTTTACAAAGGGGTAGCAGGGCGGACAGGTGCCTCTGAGCGAACAGCATTTTAAGGCAACTCAAAATGTGTTGAGATGCTGGTGGCAGTGCTTTGTCTGCGACCAGGGTTCAGATCCTAGACTCGGTGCATTGGCAGGAGTCCTACCGAGGGTGGACTGTGGACTGCTTGGAGGGCCTTTCGCTGCACTTGTGAGAAGCTCTGCTCAGCACTACTAGCCGCATAGCCACTGTGGGAGGAGAGGCCGTGTACAGGGAAACGGTTTCTACTCTGGGGGGAGGTGTGGACAAAGGACATTTAAAAGTTCATATACCAGCATAGCCAGACTCTCCACAGCCTAGTCCCTGGATTTCACGCGTCTCTCAAGCTCAGCTCTAGGAGAAGAGCAAGACAGATGTACCGGACAGCACACACTAGCCTAGGCCTGTATGGATGGATGGCTATGGAAATCCAGAAGGCAAATATCTAGTGAGCTAGATACTCTCCCATATAAACTGCTGGCAGACCCTAGGCCTACCATCTCCCTTACTCCTTCAAACGAACCGCCACTCCCTCTCTATGACAACACTGCAGGACTCTTGTGCCCTGGCTGCGGGGAGGGGCAGGGAGCTGCAAATCACAGCTGGGTCAGAGGTGCCCTCTGTGCCACGCGGTTGCCTCTGCTGCTGACTCTGGAGCGGTGCGGTAGGAGAGAGACAGGCGCCAATCTCATAATAGTGGGGAGCAGAGCCCCGTCTGGCAGCTGAGCCCAGAGATGGCAGCACTGCCAATTGGGTTGGCCATGCTTTGGGCAGGGGGCTGGACTTGATGACTTCCTGAGGTCTCTGCCAGCCCTGGGTTTCTACGATTCTAAGGAAGAGGACGCAACACAGCAAACAAGTACAAAAGCCAACACCCCCAGCCATACTTACAACTTCAGTCAGCCGTGGACACCGTGCATAAAGCACAAACATATGGGCATACAGGACTTCCCCACTGTCCACCTGGAACTGCACGTCACTTAGGTGGGGGTTGTTGACCATTCCGCTGAAATCCACAGCCAGCGACCTGAGTGAGGACTGGAACAAAGGAGGAAAGGAGAGAGAGTGAGAAATGCTGGTGAAGCTGCCACTCATTCCCCTGACAATGGAAGAGGGGATAAACATGCTGGGCCAAATTCTCTGCAGGCATAGCTGCAACACAGCTCCATGTACTCCAGCAGAGAATTTGACCCACAGGCTGTCTGCAGCATGGGTAAACTTAATAGCAGTCTTCACTGGGAAGTTCTCAGCATCTAAGCCAAACTTGGGAGGTGAGGCTGGAGCTGACTCCTGAGATTTTCTATCTGCAGTACCAGTCAGATCACACTGAAAGAATAGGAGCGAAGTCATGCCAACCAATGCAACAAGCCATCAGCACGGGGCCTTCCCAAGTGATATCAGTACACGAACCTAAAGCATCTCTCTGGTTACCACGTCTACCTAGAGTGATTTTAAAGGAATTCACAAGGGAAAGTGGAAGACTCAGGCACTGCGTCATGGGATGCAGAACTGTTTCTTCTGCAGTTCACTGTGGCCGGGCTCACACTGACAACAGCTCAGAGATGTCACCATCTAATTGGCTGTTCTGTGGAGTATGTTCTCCCTCAGTTTCCCCAGTGACAGGTACACAGGGTGGGATTTTCAAAAGTGTTTAAATGACCATGGAATTCAAAGGAAAAGAAAACAGTGCACGATCCATTAATTAGGAGCTTTGGAGCTGCCCCAGGTAGTTAGATCGTTAAGAGAACCAGGTCCATTCTAGTTGGCTATCCGGCCACAGCCTGTCCTGTGAAGTGAACATCCTTATCTTGCAAATTGTACACTGGAGGGGTATCCCCAAACCAGCTGGGAATCAGCTTGAAGAACTAATCACAGACCTGGTACATTTTTAAGCTACAGGAGCTTGAGAACTGCCAATGTTATTCCTACAGACACCTGCACGAGGTGCAGCTCCATCTGGAACCACACAGCTCTTTACTTCATTTTAGAAGGTTTCTGTATCAGCGCAGCCATCTGTGGAAACCAACATTAGATTCAACACAGTACGAGCTCATTGGTGGCCAATATTAATTAATACTGATCAGTGAACATCTGAACATGTGTTCCAGGGCTTGGTAGATGACCTGGAGAAGGCTTCATGTGTCTGGGCAGCAACACAGAGTTATACTCCAAGGGGAAGACAGGAAGCAGGGGCTGGAAACCAATCAGCTCTTTCATGCTGTTTTATTCTTGGCCAGTAAAATGGGCACAATGTTCCCTTATGATGCTACTGAACCAAATATACGGGTGCCACATTCCGGGCAGGGAGCCAAGATTGGCTTTCCTGCTGTGGCTAAAATCATGAAGGAGAAGGGAAATGAATTCAAACTAAGAACCTTCTCCTGGCTGACCAGCAGCCTGAGGAAAGTGTGCGGCTGGGTCTCAATCCTGTTCTCAGTGAACGGTTGCTCGTATCACAGAATGCACGCCCTGCTCCTGGCAGCCTCAGCAGTGAGGCTGTGTGCTACACGTGCCACAGAACTGAACTTCCCCACAAACCAGAAAGGGCTCTGGTGTGAGGCGCAGGGCCTGAACGGTGTCTTCGCTCTATCTCCGGTCACACAGAGAAATGAATCTTCAGATACGTTCTGGTAGCTCTGAAGGATCACAGTCTCAGACTGGAATTTCTGCAGCAAACCTCAGGCTGAGATCCTGGGTTCTCATATCCCCAGCAGACTGCAAGCCAGAGATGAATATTGACCCCTAAGAGACTGGATTCCTTTCAGACAAAAACAAAAGCCCAAGGATTCAAAATACATCAGGTCTGAAAATCCACAAGGCATCATGACATGTGTACCAGAGGAGAATAAATTTCTGCCACATAAAATGGATGATCTTGGTAAGAACTAGACATCGCTGCAAAATCATATGTGTACTGCAAGTATGGGGACTTGATTATGATTCTACAGGGCAAGGTCCCTGCATCTGGGGTTAAATGTGATCAATGAAGTATCCCATGCTTGATAGGCTACCCTTTAGAGATTGCACTCCACATGGCTTTGCACTGCTCACCACGTGGGAGTCCCGAATCTGGCAGGCTGCAGCCCCCAACACCCAGCTATCTTCTTTGAAACCTATGGACTGAGGAAACCATGGAAAGATTTTCTTGGCAAGTAATACTAGTGCTCTTACGGAGTGCTTCTCATCCATAGATCTCCCAGCATTCCATCGCAGCCGCAAGCTTCTTCTGCCAGATGGGTTTAGTGTAAACCAGCCTGACTCTGTAGGAACCTGTCTCTTTATTATTTTTTATATAGCTAGATGCTGGACAGGTAAGACGACATGGCTCTTGCCTCTGAAATGCTTGCAGACTACGTGCATTACCTCCAGTACTGAAGACACTTCTTACACAAATCACCTGGATATTTGCCTAACGTCCTCCTATTTTAGATCTTTCCTGTTGGACAAGGGCTTGGCCACACGCACAGGTGTCTGTGTGGACACATTGGGTGTGCTGACATCAGCTGCCTTTTCCATTGATCCCTTCCCCAGAAGCATGGGACCCCAGGGCAGATGGAAAATATTTTGTGTCACCCTCCACGAACTTCTGCCCTTACCTGAATCAACATGCCCCCTTCAGCCCCTGAAATACACAACAATAAAAGCACAAAGAAATAAGGAGAACTAAATCAGGCTCTGTCCTTACTGTGTCAAGGCTGCCGCCCTGGCACCTCTTCTCCTTGGCCGGAGGGACGAAGCCACTCAGTGGAATGTCGCTGGACACGGATTCTCCCCCTCAAGGAAGAAAATACAAATCAAAACTCAAACACAGCTAAGTAAACATTCCTAATGGCACTCTGCTCTGACAGATACCCCAACTTTAATTCCCCTCCTCCCCCCGCCACATGTACCAGTCCTAACATGTCAGCCTCCCCCTCCTTCCCTGCGAGCCGCTGGCTGGGCTGCTGCTGTCTGAATCCCATTCAGCTGTGGGCAGCACCCATCTACCATGGATCTGGAGTGAAGCCGAGACTGGGCTCTCACAGCATGGTATGCAGAGCTCAGTGGCAAGTGGCAAAAGAAACCTTAGTCTGGAGAAACTGGTACAAATGCATTTAGTGTCCTTCATCTTAGAGGGCTCAAACCAAGATACATCTATGCATGAGAATTACTTCAATCACAGGCAAGTCTCCTCCAAAGTGGACCCTGGCTACAGTTTAACATACGCAGCGGTGCTACAAAATGGAAAGTGAAGAACACCAGACCCAACTGAAAATGCAGAGAGATGACGTAACTTATTAACCAAGTTCTCCCGTACGAGGGCACGGGAGATCTCGTTTTAAAGGGATACTGTCAACTCAAAAATCGCTTTGCCCTCTGAAAATCTGGCACCTGCTGCTTTCTAAGCAAAGCCTTAGGGGACTAGAATGGTGAGATTAGAGAGAAATATGTGGCTTTCTGTTTACAGAGGTTTTACTTTGTGTATTTGGCAACTACTGTGTAGGGTTAATTTCACTGATTTGTGGTTGGACAGCTGTGATTTCTGACATCACCACTGTGCTCTCTTTTGGGAGAAATTGACACACCTTCCTCAGACTCAAAGGGTGTGTGATGAGTGACTGCTAGCAGACATGGAAAGGGAGCAGGACGGGGTGGGCATGGAAAGAAAAGGAGGAGGGGGGCTTGGCCAGGTGTTTTCAGCATTGCTCTTGGACATGTCCAAAAGGCCCGCTGGGACATCAGCTAAAGAGCAGAAAAACGCTGATTTTTTAAAAAAGAAATGTTAAAAATAAATTCAGGACATGCTGTTTAAAAGGGATGTATGGAAAATGAGTCAGTTTTGAAAGTGCCAAGCTGGCCCCTGCTGCAGAAGGGTGCCTCAAACACCATGCTTGTGCATTCATGATGCTGTGGGAAGACTGCGACCTACTGAATTGCCTTCACTATTTCCTGCCACCTCTGGCCAAGCCTCTCCTGTCCAAGTATTCACTAGGCCTGGTTCTGCTTAGCTGATGTGATCTGATGGGATTAATTCCTAGGGCTGCTAGAACTTACTCCATTGCTTCACTCCCCTGGTGTGGTCCATGTCCAAGTTCCATTGCGTGAGAGTAAGTCCTTCCCCGGCCAGCTCCACCAGGTCCTGCAGAGTCTGAACATCCTTCTGGCTGCCAGAAAGAATCTGTTGCTCTCCATCAGGACCTGCCTGGGGATTATCAGAAGTTCTGTTTCCAAGCCCTATGGAACGAGGATCAGGATGGTCGCTGCTGGTCTGTCGCTCTTGAGATAATTGTGATTGGTCAGATCCCACGGATGGCAAAAGAGTCCCTGATGTATGACTCTGAAGCAAGAAAGAAACAATAAAATGGTTCCTGTCTCGTACGTTCACCCAGCTTGGGGATCACTCAGTGGTGGGACTACACTTTAGTTCACAGTTCTCACGCCCTAGTGTAAAGGCTACATGGCCTCCAGAACACTCATCAGATGCCCTTGCTAACGAGGCAAATCTCCTTTGCATATGGAGAAGTCTGCGGAACTAAGAGAGCTCAAACCATTATCAGAAGCAACTGGCTGCAACAGAGAATGTGAGAAGAGGGGTTTTCCGGGCAGCATATTTGTATGAGAGCAGCTGCCAAGCAGAAAGGCTGGATGGTGGAAGTGTTTACACCCTTACTGCAGAACATTTAATTACGGCTGGAGCTTATGGTGACAGCTATGGCTCCGACAGCCAACAGTTCCATTCAAATAGCTCTTTTTGCAGTTATTTATAACTTGGAAGTTTCACCTTAAGGGCTGAAATTTTCCAGGTTTGGTCTCTGCCTGAAAACGTTGTGGGTTGGCCCCCCTCCCATCTCAATGAAAATGGCTCAGCCATTTCTGAAAATGAAAAGTAATGAGAAGAGGGAAAAACACTCCTGCCGCCATTTAAAATGTTTTGCAAGTTGTTTTTGAACAGCTCCAGGGCCTCATTGTTTGGGATAGAAACTTGCAATCTGGCGCAGAAGTAGCTCTTAGGTCAGATGTGTGCCTTTGAGTCACCAGCTGAAAATCTGCTGGGATTTAACCAAGTTACAAAACTTTAAACAAGGTACTTGCATATGGACAGCACATTTCTTGTTTTAAAAAAAGAAAGTCTAACTATTCTTCTGGAGTCCATGAATAGGGAGCAAAGTAAAATGTTTCCTCTTCAGGCTAAGACAGAAAAAAGAGAGAACTCTATAGTAGTCCTGTCAAGGTTTAAACTGCATGAAGTGTGATGAAACAGACAGGGGCTCTGTGAAAAAAAACCTCCAGTTTGTGACTGCAATTAAACAGCATCCATAAAGCGTACGGGCAAGGGGGCAGAGTTAAGGTTGGACAAAACTGCAGATTTGGCAACGCCTGATGTTTGTATACTTCATTTTGCAATGTCAATTTACTTGGACCACATTCTTCGTATGGAATACTAACAAATGTCCTCAAAACACAGGTGCAACTTCCTAGCTAGTCAAGTCCTGCATGTGGACTAGGAAGCAGATATAAAAGGAATTTAGAAGGTGGGGACCATGCGAGAGTCAGTCAAGTGAACTAGAAACAATCTGGGTCTCAGTAATGCAAGAGGCAAGCATCTATAATATACCTACACGGGGATCAAGATGACTGAGTAGGATTTCTTTTTCTCATTTCTTATCTCTTTTTCAGCAATGTAAAAGCAAAAGACTCCAAACAGACCAGCAGGTACCTTTGCCGTCAGTTCCAAAAGCAGATTTACACAGTCGGGCCACATAAGAGCAGTGGTGGAAACGGGTGGGTAAACACAGTGAGAGTGGGTGTGCAGACTCAGGAGGGCAGCTGGGCCCAAGAACACAACTGCTAAGTGAAAGCAAGAAGGTAACAGGCACAGACCACTGGTGAGAACACCTATAGAAGAAAGAACAGAAGAATTCCTCACCTGCACAGGTTTCCAAGGTAAAATATGAGGGGTTAATCCCACTGCATAGAAGGACTCTGGGACACAGGGTCCTGTCAAAGTACTGCACTCCCATAAAGTGGAACGCTGGTCTTTAGGCAAAGATAAAAGCCAGGCGGTCTTCCCAGGCCCATCCTCCAATATCCTGCTGGCAGGGAGTGGAGGGGTGCTAGGGAATGCCACCTCCTCTGTTAGTAACATGGCCATCCGGTTTTGGATCTGTTTCTGGGCTGTCTCTGGATCCTGAAGTAACAACGGAGGAGGAGGGAGGAGGGCGTTTTTACGCCTTTTTTTCTCTACAAAGAAAAGTACATAATAGAACATACAGGGTGCAGGAACACAGCATGCAATGAGAGCGGGACTGGGTACCTGAAGCGCAGCTCACAGGCCGAATAGGCTCACAGAGCCCCACACCACCACCTGCAGCTGCCATAATTTTCAACAGAAAGAAAACCCACTGAGACTATAGCTCCCACCATGCACTGCTCTGTCACACAACGGGAGCTGTAAACTTTGAGCTGCAGCATCACCAAATGCAATCTCTCCATTCTATGGAAGTCATGGGTGTCTCCCACGTTCAGGGTAAGTTGCCAGTGCAGCTTTTGCTTGCCGGGCTCTGCTTCAAGAAAATAGCAGAGGACCTGCAATAACTGTCACCGTTTGTCTCTTTGTGACTTCTGATACCCAAGAGCAGGTCCCCAACTCCACACAACTGCTGATCAGCAATCCCCGTGACTTCTAGCTCACTTTTGCCACTGCAAGGCTCTCCGGTATTCCCCAGCCCAGCAGTGAACTCAGTAATGGGAGTGGTGGCAGGAAGATGCTAAGGAGAATTCCAGCACGCTCCTGAAGAGTATGTGCACCCTTCTTTACCATTTCCCAGGCAGGCTTTCTTTCAAAATCTTTATTGCACGCTTCATTAAGCAAGGCATGCAACCACCAGTAACCACTCCCCAGCACATGTCCATCACAGCTGCAGCAGGGAACACAGGTAGGATTGGGAGAGGACATGATTCAGGTTGGATGAGAACGAGTAATGCAGGGTACGTGGCAGTGGAAAAATGGAGTGACCCCTTAGCTGTTCATTTCTACACTGTACCAAAAACCCCAGAACCTGAACATACATAATAACATAAGAATGGCCATACAGGGCCAGACCAAAGATCTATCTAGTCCAGGATCCTGTCTGCCGACAGTGGACAATGGGAGGGATCACAACAGGTGATCTTCACGTGATCCCTCCTGTCTCCCACTTCCAGAGAAAGAGAGGGTAGGGACACCATTCCTACCCATCCTGGCTAATAGCCATTGATGGACCTAACCTCCATGAATCTATCTAGCTCTTTTCTGAACCCTGTTAAAGTTCTAGCCTTCACCGCATCCTCTAGCAAGAAGTTCCACAGGTTGACTGTGCACTGAGTGAAGAAAAACTTCTTTTTGTTTGTTTTAAACCGGCTGCCTATTAATTTCATTTGGTGACTCCTAGTTCTTATATTGTGGGAACAATTAAATAACTTTTCTTTATTCAACCTGACAATTTCGAAACTCCCAACAACAGAAAGGAAGTGTAAGACCATGAGGGGACTCCACTGAAAACCAGAAATCCTTTTTAACTAAGTTTTGTGTAGGAATTATAGATTGCCTTAGGCCTGACATGAAATTCAGGCAGGTTGGTTTTAATTCAGGAAATACTGAATTACATTGCTCCAAAACCATCAGCTACTGACTCTAAGACACTTCAATATGTACCTGCTCCAGGCTTCCACTTAATTGGCAATGGACTCTCCAGTTTAATGCTTGTTACCGACTTGGCTTGCTCCTGCCTTGTTTGTTCCAGCAGAGATCGTGACATTGCCATGGCAACCAGAAGATCCTCATCAGTGGTCTCCACCTTAGAGGTCTTCCGCTTTTTCTTTGACTCCTTCTCTTTGGAGGAGCCTTTTCGCTTTGACCTGCTGAGCTGGTTGCTGAAATGTAAGAAGGCAGCATGACACACAAGATACCTGCAACGGATCAGAAACAAGGAACACTGCACCCTCCCCATCAGCTGTTCTAACCACTTAGGTAGATCCTCATTTCCAGGAGAAGGGGTCATTCACAGCCAACTACTCCCAAACAGGGGGACGTGTTTATCATTAACTATGGATGCTGAGAGCAATCTGGAGACAGTCTTGTTTGAAAGGGTTGCATGGACATGGAGTTCTCATGGACTTCTCTCAATGAAAAGGCTGCTATTAACATTGCTTATTTGCTCCAGCTCACCTGGGTGCTACAGGGGGGCCCTCACTCACAGCCAGTGCCTGGGACTGCACTGCCTGGAGAAGCAACTGTGGAGGGACCTCCATCTTGACAGCGCAGCGTTTCAAGTGACTGGCTCGGCTTTTGGGCGTGTGGAACTGCTTCCCACAGATGGGGCACTCAGGAATCGGGGGGTTGCTGGAAGAGGGCACCTGTGACTTCTCCATCTCATCCAGACACCTGCGGGAAAACAGCAGGGTTTGCTCTTAAAAGCATTTTAAACTTTGCTCACACTAATACGTCTGAACCATATTAACGAAGAACCAGAGTGATCAGCTCTCACACCTGAAATAACCAAAGAAACATTCCCTAAAGAAGTGTGTATTACATATTACACACAGTCCTGGAACCAGGTGCTAAATGTGATGTATAGAATCTGTGGAGGTTATAATCAGTAGAGCCATGTGATAAATATATTTATCACATTCCTGTGCAGTTCATCACATACCTATGGGTCTGTCATCTGCCCACTAGTCCTCCCTGGGATTTATTCTAGCACAGCAAACCCTTGAAGCAGCTTCTAGGGCCACTATTAAAAAAAAATCAAACTACCAGAGAAACCCTCCCTCTGTCCTCAAATTCCCCCAGTTCAAGACAAGATTATGCCTTTTCCCAGTGACAGCTTTTCTAGCCCTGACTGGGCTAGAAACAGGAGCTTTCTTAACCACTGGAAAGGGGAGCTTTCTAATGGACCTATTACTCAGGGATCTGAGATGAACTTAAAAACCGTCATCTTTTCTAGGTAGGTAAGAATATTTTAAGTCATCTGAAGAGGTTTTTGTGGCTCCTTCTGCACACTGTGTAGCAGGGATGTAACAGTGTAACCGCTTAAATGGTTAACCAATAAGCATGAGCTTATCGATTACCATAATGGTTACACACTGGCAGCTGGCTTCCCAGGAGTGGGGTCAGCAACCAGGAGCCGGCTCCTAGCACACACTGGCTGCCAGCCCTGCTCCAAGGGAGCCTGCCACATGTAACCATGTAACTATTAAGATTTTTAATGGTTTCACAGTTATCTAATTAACTGCTCTTGTACAGCTGGATTCAAGAGGAGAGCTCCTGGCCCCCCTGAAGTTAACGGAGGAGCAGTGGCTGTGTTTACACTACCAGGTTACTTCAAAGTAAGTACTCCTGAAATAAGAATTTTGAAATAAGCTTGCTCCTTTTCACAAGCAGGAGTCATTATTTTGAAATAACCAGCCCATTATTTCGAAACAACAGGGTTGGTAGAGTGGACGCTCACCTTGTTATTTTGAAATAACTCCCTAGTGTAGATGTGCCCACTCAAAGCATCAGAATTTCAGCCATGATAACTAAGGCTCTTGTGGCACCACATGCAGGGTGATAAAAAACCCTACTCCAATAACTTCTAAAATCTCTCTGAACATGTGCTAAAATAGTTTCTCTGCATTATGTTTCCTGCACAAACTACTCAATGGCATGGTGCGGTATAAAGCTTTAATCAGCACTGTTTTGGGAGATCAGACACAAATCACTTTACCTCTTGTGATTAATGTGGTGAACAAAAAAAATCCCGCCAGTAAAACCCTTCACTCATTCCAGCCCGTTGTGCATTAGAACAGCCAAATTAATTTCTTAAACAATATTCTGGAATTTCTGTTACTGTTTTAGTGTCACCAATCAGTAAGTAGGAATGGGCTCTCGCGACATCTTAAATATTTTTCTTGTGTATTAACTGTTATAAGAGCATCTTACACGTTCATACGAGTTGTAGCAACAGATACTTCCAAGGAGTCTGAACAGCTGGAGGAGGGAATGCAGGACTGAATGACTCTGTATCACCATTTTAAAGCATTTGGATGTTTTTCAATGGTGAAAAGTGTTCCTTTAATGCTAAAGCCATTCACCAAACCAGGTCAGCATAATGTTAGCATGATCAGGACCTTACCTACACAATAGGTCAGTCTAGATCAGGGCTACTCATCACTAGGCCCATGGGCCACACATGGCCCATGGTACAGCTTGGGTTTATGCGGGGCTCAATACGCAGCCCACGGGTGGGAGCCAAAACAAAAAAGTAGTCAATATAATGGTCTTCAGTTGATCTGTGTTTTAGTAGTTAAATTCCTGGACTGTCATTGCTCATTAAAAGTGCTGTCATATGGGTGGAAATCGGGTAAATATTGCATTGTATTAATATCAGCAGAACTGACTTAAATGGGGGCTGTGTGTTGTGTAGTCTTGCCTTAATCTTTATATTCATGCCCATCAGTGTGAAAGCCTCTATCTGCATATATATTTGCATGTCTATGCAACCACACTTAAGTTGAGGCCCTTTGCATGTGCTGTGAGGTATTGTTGTGGCCCCCGGGGCTTCCAAAGTTAAGTAGCCCTGGTCTAGATGATCTAGTAGTCCCTCTGACCTATGACTCTATAACTAATTACATGGCTGTTGGACTCCAAGCGAGACCCTAGAACCTGTCACCCAATCCCAGTACAAAGGGACTCAGGAGGCAAAATCCTTCAGTTTTCATAATGCAAGTGAATAGCAAGAAAGCAAGTACGAAACAATCTTGGCATCTCATACTGGTCTCCTTACTCCACCATCGATAAAGCCCTATATAACAGGGCTCCGCATTAGCTGTTCTCTGATCTAGATAAAGGACATGCTGCTATATGAAAGGGACTCAAATCCATTCCCAGCAATATACTGATGCCCTTAGCAGGCCATTTCTTCAGGCTGCTCCATGGCATACTGCCAGAACATTTATTAGGGTGAGATGAAGATTACTTTGTGGGCTGAGACTGGCACCTCTCAAACTTGGATTGTCAAATGCACGGTTTCATAAACCATCCTTACACACTAGCCATGCTGTTAAAGCACTCCACTGAGGCTTACACTGAAAGATGTATGCTGGGAGAGTAGCAGAAAACTCAGTCTCACTACAAACTCCAGGGAGCACCACAGGACAAAGAATTCAGGCCCTGCTGCGACTCTCACAACAAGTTATAGTTACGTACATCTTCAATATTAAAATTACTATGGCATGGCCTCAGCTTTTACTCTTTTTCATAATAGCTAGGCTGGCTGAGTCTTTAGTCTAGGAGGGTTTAATAATAAACAAAATACAGGACTACATAGCACTTTAATAATAAACAGTTTCCTTTCACCTGTTAACATGCTGCTCCCGTCGTGTTGTGTTCATGGCTGAGAGGTCCTTCTGACAGAGCTGACAAAAAAATAAACCTGCCTCTTCCAAACTTCCAGGTGCTACTTCTTTGAGCTCCCCTTGGAGGGCCACTGACAGAGCAACATCTGGCTCGTTCACAGGCAGATCCAGAGTCACTAAGGGGAAGGAAAGATCTTCTCAGAGCCAGGTCTAAGCATTTTATAAAAGGCTTGAACCTGTTATATTCAGTTATTTTATTGAACTGGATACTTAAAATTAAATGTCAACTTTCTCCAGCCCCCTTCATTCTAAAGGACCTCAAAGTGCTTTGCAAACCACACACACAGCAACTCTGAAATGCAGCCACCTCTGGGGCGGAGGGTGGCAATCAACACATCACCATACAATGCAGCAGAGGAGAGGGAGAATGTTGGCTGCAGTCAATAGTTCAAACCATGGTTCTTATACAAAGGCCAAGGAGGTTTTTAATATCCACACAAAGCCAAGATGATCTTAGGCTTTAAAGATCCCCCATACAATAAATTGTACTGGATTCAGTTTATTTACAATGATACTGGCCTCCTTGGTAATGTGCTTTTTGAGATATACTCATGAAAGAGCTATATATCATTATGGATACACTGGAAGGAAGTGAACCGATCCAGCTGGGATCTGAATCTGTGTTTCCAAGAAATCTGTATTTTAAAAATGGATGCTTAGCACACCATCCCTTCCAGGCTTGAAGAGCCTGCTGCAGATATTAACTAAGTCACACAACCGTTCAATAAGGCAGGCATTGTTAGCCTCATTTTACAGATGAGGAAAATTAGACACACAGAAATTAAGTGACTTATTCAAAGTCACATAATGAGCCAATGGCAGAGATGAGAATAAAATCCAGGAATTGTGCAGATGGCTCCCAATCTGGCACTCTAACTGATCGACAACATTCCCCGTATACTTAGGATAGACTGCAAGAGACACATACCGTTCCCCAGCTGGTTCTTCTCTTGGTTCGCATTAAGAATGTTTCCATCTGTTATTGTCTCTGGTAAATTGCTGCCCAAGGTGTGTTTCAGCTGTTTTGGTCCCACTCTCTTAAACTGCTGCATCCTCTCCAGCACCAGCTCTGCTACCCGCAGCCTGGTTCCTGAGATCTGGAGCGTCTTTGCAGGGGATGAGGTAGAGGTTGCTGGTTCTGCAGCTGCAGTGAAGGATGATGCTGTTTGGGAGCAGGTCCGCAGGTCACTGCCTGGGGGGGAAAAAGCTCAGTCCTAATCAGTCCTTCCATCTGGAGCTTTGCAAATTCTCCATTAAATACCCAGCTACACTGGACAGGTAAGGGGGTTTCAGAGAAGCCTCCTCCCACAGCAACCTCAGCCATTCTTGATTTTAGAGTATGCGGATTCTGATGGACAAGATGCTCACCTACTGAGTTTCACCCTGTAATAATAATCACACCTAGCTCTTACATAGCACTTCCACCAGAAGGTGTCAAAGTGCTTTACAAAGGCACTCAGTGTCATCAATATATTTCCCCATCTCATGTCACAGATGAGGAAACTGAGGCATGGAGAAGTGACATGTCCAGCTCAGGTCATCCAGCAGCTCACTTGCAGAGGTGGAAATAGGCCCCAGATCTCCAGAATTCCAGTCCATGCTCTATCCACTGGGCCAAACTGACTTCCAACCAGTGATGTAGGTTCTGACTAGGGATGTGAATGGTTAACTGGTTAGCATCACCCTTACAGGATGATTCTTACTGGTTACAGTGAACTGGCAGGCAATGGAGCAGCCCCCTGCCCACTGCAGGCAGGGGGCTGCTCCAGACTGGTGGGGCCCGCTGCAGGCAGGAAGTGCTCCAGCCAGGCCAGAGCAGCCCCCTGCCTCCCCCTATTTAAGCGGTTAACTGGTTAAACATAACATTTAACCAATTAACTGATTAAATGGGATTTTACATCCCTAGTTCTGACTTCCATTCCAATGATGGGGCCTGAGAGATGCTGAGCAGTAGGATCTCTCAGGCTCTATAATGGGTAGAGGCTGGAAATCAGAATCTAGAGCAGTGTTTCTTAAACTTCTTAAGACCAAGAAACACCAAACAATTTTTTTTTGTATGAGGAACAGCAAGGATTTTTGGTTGAGAAAAAAAAATCGCCTGCTCCTTTAAGGGTGGCCATTTTGAACTCTGTTGTTCTCCATGGCACACTTCCGATTGCCTCAGTTTAAGAAACACTGATCTAGAGTGTTGGCTGGGAGTCTGTGGCCCAGTGATGTTGGTCTGGCCATTGCTTCAGGCTGTTGCATAGTCTATTGCCAGAACATCTATCAGGGTGGGATGAAAACTACCTCTCTGCAGCCTGGGCTGCTTTGGGGAACCCTTCCAGCTCGGTGCTTCATGTGACAGCTGGAGAGGCCTCGCCTACCTGACAGCATGTGCTGAAGAACAATGACTAGGGACAGTCAGAGGTGTCAGTCTAACAAGTGGAGTGCTTTCTACTGTACTATGAGTGAGCAAAATGCCACCCTATGCCACCCTAACTGCCTGGTAGGCCTGACCTGGTGGAGTTTAGAAATGTTCCACTGAACATGAAAGCCCTTCCAGCCCCAGGGTATTTTCCATAGAAATATTTCAGAGAGAAGGAAGGAGATTGGACAAGTTACCTGCCAAGCTGTTCTGCTTACACTTTGGTGCCATTGCATGCAACTGAGTGACAGAAGGAGGGTCTCCATTTCCATCACCCAATGGAGGCCCAGCATTTCCACACGCTGTGGCTTCCCCTTCTGGTTCATGCCCCAATGCCTGCCCATTGGGGGTGGTGGGCCCTGGACACCCCACACCCTTTCCAATAGAAGACCCAGGTTGGCTTTTGCTTTTAGCAGCTGACTTGCTCTTTTTCAGTTGGCTTTTTGTGGCAGTGCTCCTCGTCCTGCTCTGAACCTTCCTCCCTCCCTCAGCATCTCCAGCCTTTTTCTTCACCCTGCTCAAGAGGTTAGCACAGAGTTCTTTAAAATCATTGTCCAACTCCTCCATCAGGCTTCCAGCCTCAAAGCACTCGGCTCGGCTTCAGTGTGATGGGGCATGTGGGAGTACTGGACTTGGCAGCAGGGTCAGCGCAGGTCTGCTTCCTGCGATGACCTAGTCATCATTTTGCCTTATGCACCATCCCTGCAGTCTGCACACTTTGGATTCCAACAAGATCAACGTGGGCACATTTCTGGCTGGTCCAATATTTCACCCTATTTCCAACTTAGCCATTAAGTCCTGTAGAGTCTTCAAGGAGTCCACTTGTTATCATTCATATTCAGGTGACTTCCTTGTGCTCTGACGAGTTGGATAAAAGATGGAGAATGCACTCTGGAGAGAGGACGCTTCAGGATCTTCATGATGTGCTAGAAGGCCGTGCAAGGAGCTTTATGATAACATCTAAACAAAAGAAATAAACAAGGGTGTAAATGAAGAATGGTTTGTATAGGCACAGTCTGGAATTAGGTGGAGCTTCTGAGGATCAGTGCTGGAAAACCCTGATTGGATAAGGCATATCATTGACATAAAGTATTGTCAACCAGAGAACTACCCACAGACACAGAACATGCTAAGAGGGGAGGCACAAACATTTCAAAGAAGATTCCTGGCATTAAACATCACTATCACATGCATAACAGCATGTTTCCTACTTTACGAATGGGCTGAGACTGAGTTTTTCTTTTACATAATAGGATCTGGAAGTGAATGTCAGAGTGGAACTAAAACCACACACACACATATTTTATATCAGGGGTTTTCAAACTTTTTTTTCCTCATCTTGAAGAAAATTGTTGATGCCCGCAACCCAACATAATGTGACTAGAGTGTGGGCTCCAGGGTGGGGCTGAGAGCTTTGGGTTGCAGGAGGGGACTCCAGCTTTGGAGATCTATGAGGAACTGATGATACAGCTGCAGTGCCTCACACTGAAGTGCAGGAGAATTGGACTGAGTTAACAGTCTGGCGCCAGACAGAGCTTGGACTGCGAAAAAAGCAGCACAGCCATGACTGGACGAATGCATTACCTCACTCAACAGCAGACCTAGAAAGCAGTGGCACATGGTCCCTGAAAGACTTAAGGAGGTCTCAAGAGAAGGATCAAAATAGAGGGAAAGTTGGAAGCACTTCATTCCTCAAAAATGGAATTAAATGTTTCTTTTTCCATAAGTAACTAGTTTTCTAATTATAGAAAGATCCCAGGAAGAGGGAGGGCTCTGTGCTGCTGTGCTGGAACCATAAATATTACTTCCCCTCCCTTGAAGACTTATTACAGAGGACCTGGAAGCTTGGAAGCAGAGTTTTCAATCACGCCAGTCAAAACACAGCATGGGGAAAGAATTGGTATTTGTGCTGGAACCCACAGCAGAAAGAGACCCCCTGGAATATTTCCAGCCCAAGTACTGTAGCCATAAGCTTTCCTACAGCCCTCAGTACTTCCCATTGCTGCTGGAGAGAAACCCACAGATCTACAGCAGACCTTCCTGAGGAGCCTCTCACAGACCTTCCCTCATGCAGTCTCTCTCAGTTCAGTGCTACATAGGCTTGTATGTCATGCTCATCACAGTAATATCCTTTGTAACCATAGTATGGCAGACTCACTGTACTGCTACACTGTTCACAAGGCATGGCTTCTCTGCATCCCTGGGGTTGCAAAAAACATCTTAATGTGCAACGGCAATCAAAAAAGCCAAAAGAATGTTAGGAATAACTAGGAAAGAGATAAATAAGAAAATATAACGTCACTACATCAATCTATAATATGCCCACACCTTGAATACAGAATGCAGTTTTGGTCACCTCATCACAAAAAAGATATCTTAAAATCTGAAAAAAGAGAGAAGAGCAAACCAAACAATCAAACAAACAAAAAAAACCCAAGAGTACTGCTCATTTTAGAAAAGAGATGACTAAAGCAGGATATGATAAAGGCTTATAAAATCACTAATGGTATGGAGAAAGTGAAGTGTTATTTACCCCTCTTCTAACATAAGAACCAGAGAGCCCTTAATTTCACTGAGTTAGTACTTCTTAACACTATCTGTGGAACTCATTGAAAAAGATGATGAAGGATAGGTCCATGAATGCATTAGCTCAGATGGTCAGAGGTGCCACTAAATCTCTGTCTGAGAGAAGTTGGGACTGGATGCTAGGAGATGGATCGCTTTATTATTGCCCTGTTCTGTTCGTAACCTCTGAAGCATGTTGCATAAGCCACTGTTGGAAGTAAGGACATAGGGACAGATGGACCATACATCAGTCAATTCAACTACCTGATAACTAATAATAATACCTAGCTCTTATACAGTGCTTTTCATCAGTAGATCCTGACACACTTTACAAAAGAGGTCAGTATCATTAACCCCATTTTACAGATTGGGAAACTGAGACAGAAAGGGAGGGGGAAGGTGACTGGCCCATGGTCACCCACGAGACCAGTGGCAGAGCTGACAATAAAGTTCAGCATGTGAATGTCCGCAATAACAGGACAAAAGCTTTTGTCTTAAATCACCACATCCCTTGCTTTTCCAGCCAGGATCGGCTCTTTTGGTATCTAATCCCTTCTGATCTTGGAAGTGAAAGGTAGATTTCCACTTTGCTGCCTTGAAGATGCTGCAGAGAGAATGCAACTGCTGCATCCCCAGGTAATATGGTCTGAGTGAACCTGCATCTGCTACAGTTAAGCAATAGTACAAAGCTGAGTGAAACAAGTAACTACGAATCTGACGGCTATAAATATCTGTGACGATAAGAGAGAGCTGCGATAGCTCAAGGAAAATCCATGCAATTTTTAACAAAATCCCACATTTTAATTTTTACCGCAAATTGCTAATGGGGCTTATTATCTATGCCTAGCTTGGTTACACACAGAATCTGCACAAAAGGCCTGATTCCTCTCTCTTACCAGTTTAACTCTAATGAAGTCAACAGCATTATTTCTAATACACATTGATAGGAGAAGCAGGCCCTACATAGCAAAATTGTTTTGGCTTTTTTTTTTAAACTAATATAAATTTAACTTTTCCTGAACATAATGCTAGGAATAGATGCCATGCTAGATAATGAAATAGTCAATCCACAGAACAATAGTATAGACTAGGGGTTATCAAACTTCACTGCACCCCAACCCCTTTCTGACAACAGAGTTACTCAGGTGGAAGAAAGGGACAGAGCCTGCTCCCCACCGCTCTAGGTGTGGGGGGAGAGAACACAGCCAGAGACTTGCCATTCCGGGGAGGGGGAGAGGGGGACAGAGAGAAGGGACCAGAGCCTAAGCTCCACCACCCTGGAGCCACGCTGCCCTAGGTGTGGGTGGAGCTCAGGTTTCAGCTTCAGCCTAAGGTACAAGCAAGCCTAAGGCTGGCCCTGGAGACTCTATTAAAATTGGGTCAAGACCCATTTTGGAGTCCGGACTCACAGTTTGAGAACTGCTGCTACAGAATATAGGAACTGCCACACTGGACTGGATCTGCGATCGATCTAGTCTGATGTGCTGTTTCTAACATAAGAATGGCCATACTGGGTCAGACCAAAGGTCCATCCAGCCCAGTAGCCTGTCTGCCGACAGTGGCCAATGGCAGGTGCCCCAGAGGGAGTGAATCGAACAGGTAATGATCAAGCAATCTCCCTCCTGCCATCCATCTCCACCCTCCTAATGATGGCTAGTATCAGATGCTTCAGAGAAAGATGCATAAACACCTCATTACGAAGCTGTGGGATGATCTGCCACCATGACAGCCTCACCCTAATAGTTAACAAGGTTGGTTTGAGCACAGACACATGAAGTTTGCATCTTTCAAAATTTTGGCATGGTTACCATTATCTATTGGACATTCTTTGTTAGCCATATAAATGTTCAATCTCTTTTTGAATGTTGCTAATGTTATGGTCTCTTTGGCAAACCTGTGAATTTTGTGTTAATGTGCCAATGTTTTAATTCCATAGATATCCCCTTGTTCCTGAATTGTACGCCTGGGAGAACAGAAACGCCTGACCTACATTTTCTTCACCAGTAATTATTTGATAGACTTTAACCATGCACTGCCAAGCACGGCTTTTGCAAGCCAACAATTTTAGAGCGGTGTACTAAAAAGTGGCTAATTTAGCAGTGGCTTTGCGCGTGCTTTTAAGGAGATCTGTTCACCAAATCCCACGCTGCCATACGTGCCCCCCACAACTCCTCTTCAAGGTGTTGCCACTGTTTAAAACCCTGGAACACCAGGCTGAATGGCGCAGCGCCGTTTCCACTGGCCTTAGACCCGAGCTACGGATCCCCGGGCTGATGCTGGACAGAGACTTGGTCTAGCACGGTTCGTTACCCGGCCCGGGCCGGGAGGGAAGGGTTGTACGGTGCGACCGGCTGGGATTCCCACCCGCACTGCTGGGGGCGCCCCATTTCCCACCATCGCCCCTCACGCCAAAGCCGCCGAGCGGTGCTACGTGACAGCGGTGGCACTATGACATCACAGCGGGCATTGTGACATCACGGCAGTGCTGCCTGACAACGTCTCCATGGGAACCAGAAGTTGCGCCAGCCGCTGACAACGCAACAGAGAATCTTCCCCCCGCTACATCGTCTCGTCCCGGCCTCCCCCGGACCCTCTGACCTCTGCTGGGCGGCAGCTCCACACCCCTGGGTACTAACAGCCGGGCGGCAGCACATTCCGCCCAAAGCGCACGCGCAGGATCTGTGGCGCATGCGTAGAAGAAACGGCGGCCGTTAGCGGGTAGCATTCGTGGACCGCTTTCCGTCGTCTGGCTTCTTCGCGCATGCGTAAACCCCCATCATCGCTACACAAAGGCCACCTCCCAAACCTCGTTCTGTACGCATGCGCGGCCCCTCCCCTTGCTGCGCGTGCTCCGGAGGCACCTCGGCTCGACCGGCTGCTAACGGCTCAGCCAGGTTGGGCCCGCGCGAGCGTTTTGTCGGTTAAACGGTCACGCGCAGACGGGCGAGTGCGGAACGGCTCTCCAGTCACAGCTCCCGGCTCCTGCGGGGAGTTTAAGGAGGCAGCAGGAGCGCTCCAATGGCCCCTCTTAGCTTTGCCATCCACTGGGGAATCCGTGCTTACTGCGCACCCCCAGCACCACAGCCTTAGAGGGAACTCGCCCTGTTCACGGGTACCAGCGTGCTGACAACAGATCCGTCGTTCCCCTTGGCTAAGCCCCGTGATCTGGCAATAAGGAGTCTCACAGGAATATCCCGGGGACCACCAAGTTTCCGTTGTATAGGGGCCACCCTAGGAGGACCGAGATTTTTTTCGACACCCATGGTACTTGTGCTTACTGAAACAAAGGTGAGCTTCCTTGTGGTTTCCATGGAAGGGAGGAGCCTTTCAGGACTGTGTCCTGAGTGGCTTTGCTGAATGCAGGGATGTTAATTAACTTTTAAAATGTTAACCAGTTAAGTGCTAGGTTTCAGAGTTAACCCTGGAGCAGCCCCACCCAGTGGCAGGACAGGCTGCTCCAGCCCCAGCTGTGCCATGACTTCAGATGTCAAGGGCTGCTCTGGCCCCAGACCTACTGTGGCCTTGAAGGTTACTCCAGCCCCTGCTGTGGGGGCTGCTTTTGCCTGCTTGTGTGCTGGATGGGTCTAAGAGCAACCTGGTGCAGCGGAAACTAGCATATCAGATGGCAGCGTGGTGTGTGTGTGGAGGGGGGTTCCAACCTGTCACAGTTGATAGAGCTGAAAGGTGCCTCAGTTTTCAAACATTAAAGCTGAACCAGAGAACAGGCAGGAATTCTCTTGGGAGAAAAGGCTCCGGAGCTGCTGGGCTAGAAACTCTGGCAATGGCTGTACATCTCAAATGACTTGGTTCCATTTTTTTATTGAAATGTATTTAGGATTTCTGGGATCTAGGCCCTAGCTCAGATTCACTGTGTGCCCTTGAACAATTCATTTACCCTCAGTGCTAGTTTTTCCACTAGTTAAATAGACAGTAATGACTAACTTCACGAAGGAGATGGGAGAATTAGTGTTTGCAAAGCATAAACAGAATTACTAAGTATTATTAATGGCTCCTGAGTTCTCTGCTTTTGGAAACAATAGCCTCCCTTAATGTTTTAAACAGTTGCTGGTGAAGGAGCTTAGAGTGCAGATTCCTGGCCTGTGGTTTGTCTGTAAATCACAACGCTGGACTCTACCCAAGACACTCTCTTGAATGTTTTAGCAGGAAGTCTGGATGAACAAAGCTCTGTTCTCAGTTACGTAGCCCAGGGAACTACTTTGAGCTGGTCCAGTCTCAAAGTCCCAGCCAGACCTTCAAGGGATTCTGTCCAAGTCCCAAAGCACAGGGTCTCAGACACATCCTTCCAAACTGGATTTCACCGTCTATAACTATTTGGCATTGCCTGTGTTAAGGATGTATTTGACTCCTTAGTGCTACCTGTGGGTCAGCTGACCAGCCTCAGAAAAAAGGATGGTTAAGAGCCTAATTTATTACCCGTTAATTACATGAACACTTGGGCAAGAAGCTGCCAGTGTAGACATAGCCTAAGAACAGCTGATCTTGCGCAAAAACTTGCCTGCTGTCTACACTGCAGGAGCATTCTTGCACAAGTAAGTTTACAGTATAGCGTTGTAAAACAGGGCTTCTTCCTGAAGAGTTATTCCTCTCCCCATGAGGAATTAGCCCACAAGAGCTGATCCACAAGAGGGCAGTGTAGACAGGCAACATGAATTTCTTGTGAAAGAAGCCCCTATGGTTAAAATGACCATCAGTGTCCACACTGCCATGGATGCTCTTGCGCAAAAGCACATCTCTTGTGCAAAAGCACATGGAATTGTGGACACGCTCTTGTGGAAGATTTTTTGCACAAGAACTCTTCCGCAAAAGAGTTCTTGCGCAAGAAGCTGCCACTGTAGATGTAGCCTTAGGTTTTGCCTGACCCCAGAATTTGAACTGCCTCATTTATACTCTTGGGCCCGCTCAACACTAGGGCAGAAGGATGACCTAAGATACACAACTCTAGCTATGTTAGTTACATAGCTGGAGTCGATGCATCTTAAATTGCCATCCACACAGCAGGAGGTTGATGCCAGCAAACGCTCCCGGCTACTTCCATTATACTCCTCACTAGGAGCAGGTGTGACGTAGTGGGGGGCTGTTTACTCTAGTGGTTGTAGGTCCACTCTGGTTGGGCATTCACTGGTTGCAGTGGGGGCTGCAGGTGACCCCTACTGGCCTGCATCTGTAAGCACTGCCCAGTGGGGGGGGGGGGGTCGCCTGGAGGCTCTCCTCATGTAGTTCATGGTCCAACCAGTTCTCACCTGATGAGGAAAGGGATCTGAACAACAGAAGGGTGTGGCTTGGAGAAGGGCAGTCTTTGCTGGAAAAACATGAAGAGACTAAGCTGAATACTGGGGGTTGAGGGGCTAGTGGACCCCTATCCCAAGGGGTCCAAGGCTGCCTGGCCCTGACTCCTGTAACCATATGACGTCAATTCTGTACTGTATCCTGGAGAACCAATAAACCCTCTCTATTCTACTGGCTGGCGGAGTCTCATCTTGCTGCGGACAGAGGTGCAGGATCAGGGGATACCCGCCACACCACCTTATTGGTGCTGAGGGAAACACCCTCTGAGTTCAATTTAGTGCATCTTCACGACACTAGCTAAATTGAACCCCAGAAGATCAACCGCAGCAATATCAATCTTCCATGTACTGTAGACATGGCCTTAGTATTATATACAGTATAATGCAGACCATAAGTAAGTCCAATTTACTGGGTGGTATTTATTTAAATGACTAAACAGCAACAAGATGCTACATATACCTTAAGCAGAGCTGGCTCATGATCCACCATATAGACACTGAACAGACTTCACACATTGACGATGCTAGTCTGAGTTAATCCTAGAGATGGAAAGGTGAAAGGCTCTACTTTCTGATCTTCCCAAAGGCTGAGGTAAGTTTATGGTATTTAAAAAATGACAACATTACTCTTCAATTTTGTCTGGTCAGCATCACAAAATGCTGGTTTAGTGACAAGTTTTTACTGCTTATTTGTGTTCACCTGCTGAGCTCAAGTATCTCTGGGAGAGAGCTGATTCTATGCTGGCTCACATGGCACCAGAATCATTAACCAAGTTCTACTTATAGAATCTTATTTCTGATTCATCCTGAACTCTCCAGTAAGAGCCCACACTGAGTTTGCAATGCTACTGGTTATTAAAAAAAATCTTGTACACTGAGCTCAACTGCCCGGTGAAACAGAAAAACAGAGGACCATGGTAGCTTGTCTCTCTCAGGCCCTTTCTGCTGGGTAGTTATCACATGTTAAAAACCTGGAGTTTAGCTCTTAGTACCTTAAGGACAAGAATTAGGGTTCATAGCTCAGGGACTCGCCTCCTACTTCCCTTCCAATTCCTTCTATATGGCCTTCCCCATCCCCCACACCACTGGCAGAAGGAGCTCTTCCCCACCATTCTAGGACGCTGCTGCCTCTCAGCATTGGGGAGTGTGTGAAAGGATATGAACTGTCATGCTATCAGAGCTGGGGCACAACAGAGAAAAATAAGGCAAATTCCCCTGGTGAAGGTATCATTAAATGAAGAATTTATTTAACATAAATAAGCAGAACAGCGATTACCTAGGGCATGCCAATTATACCACAAGGGAGGCAGAAACCCTGGAAAAACTGTTCAAAATGCCAAGTGAGCTTGTCAAATATATCCCCAGATACAGAGATGAGTTCAGTTATCCAGTGGCTCAGCTACCTTATCTGCCACACCACTCCGACCTATGTTTGTTAATGGCAACCATCTATCCCGGTGCCTGCTAACCACTGGGTGGAAGTTTTGTGACAAACTCATTTTGCTCGGCCGAAGCTGGTGTTCTGAGCCCACAGTGTACAAGGGCAAATTCCTGAATGGGTATCTGGGGCTGTTTCATGGAGCTAGTGTGGACTCCTGATGTCAATTTTGCTATTGGGAAAGACTGTTTCTGGAATCAATATGAAATTAGAACTTTGGAGCCAAGCTCAGAAATCCTGGCAAATCATTTTAGCGATAATCTCCTGGTTTTGATCTCAGCTGGATGATGCCATTCTGGAAGGGTAATACACAGCCCAGTACTTACAACTGGAACCTCTCTCTAAAGTGAAACTTGGGAGCACATTCATGTGCCACGCAGACCTGCAGAGATTCTAGTCTCACTGTACGGAGTCTGGGACCAGACGGCTGTTCCATCAGCTGACAGTGGAAGTTGTGCTTGAAGGAACTGCGGCTGATACCTGGCACAGAGCTTGCCCCTTCGATCAGTTTGGGGATCAGTGTTTTTCCAGGGCTTTGGTAAGGAGCTCATTTAGACGGCTCACCATAGGTCTGGGGTCATCATTCAGTCCTGCTGCTATCATGGCATTCTCATAAATCTGAGCGAGACAAAGGCACAGAGAAGAGATGTTGTTAGCAACAGGAGCCACCTTGGTGGCTCTCCAGCACTCCATGCCCCGAGTGTATGAATGTGAGGTGCCATTTGGAGCCCTGTTCAATTTCAGACACAATTACCATCCCTCCACACTTCAAGAGAGCCATCTTAAATGTCAGGTACTGCCTATGAATTCTTTCTGCTTGGTTCCTTTCCTTTCCTTCCCTCCCCCTCCCCCCCCACAAGTGCTGCCCACTCTGGTGTAAACAGCATCGTTCTCAGCTCTGCACCAGACACGAATTGTAGTAGGCCAGAATGAGCAACACAGACCCATCCCTGGATGACACCAAAACATTCTAGGGAAATGGTCACTGCGTACTAAAAATACCGAGAGTGGGGATCACTGGGTACATGATTCCAGTTGGCCACGAGACAGCCTTGGTCCACTCCCTTACTGCCCACAGATGTGGTAGCCTGCTCAGGGAGCATGGTGCAAACATGGCCCTCACCTGATCAAGCAGCAGCTGGGCCAAGTCAGGCTGGCTGACCCTCAGTTGATCGAGTTTTTTGATCAGTGCATGCCTGCAATGGAATGAGAAATCAGCACAGGGTTGCAGTACCCCTGGAATGTGTGAAAAAGCCCGATAAGAACGGCCATACTGGGTCAGACCAAAGATCCATGTAGCTCAGTATCCTGTCTTCCAATAGTGGCCAATGTCAGGAGCCCCAGAAGGAACAAACAACAAGTAGTCATCAAGTGATCCGTCCCATCACCTATTCCCACTTTCTGAAAGAGGCTGGGGACACCTTCCCTGTCAACAGCCATTGATTGACCTACCCTCCATGACTTGATTTAGTTCTTTCTTGAACCCTGGTCTAAGTCTTGCCTTTCACAATATCCTCTGGCAAGGAGTTCCACAGGTTGACTGAGCTGTCTGAAGAAATACTCTCTTTTGTTTGTGTTAAACAAGCTGCCTTTTAATTTCATTTGTTGCCCCCCAGTCCGTGTGTTGAGAAGTAAACAAAACGTCCTAATTTACTTTCTCCACAGCAGTCATGATTTTATAGACCTCTATCAAATCTTTCCTTAGTCTCTTTTCCAAGATTAAAAGTCCCAATCTCTCCATACAGAAGCTGTTTCATACCCCTAGTCTTTTTTATTGCCCGTTTCTGAACCTTTTCTAATTCCAAAATACCTTTTTTGAGATGGGGCAATCAGATCTGCACATGGTATTTAAGATGTGGATGTATCATGAATTTATTTAGAGGCAATGAGATATTCTCTCTCTCTTTCTTAATGATTCTCAGCATTGTTTGCTTTTTTGACTGCTGCTGCACATTGAGTGGATGTTTGCAGAGAACTATCCACAGTGACTCCAAGATCCTTCTCGAGTGGTAATAGCTACTTTACACCCCATCATTTGACATGTACAGTTGGGATTATGTTATGTACATTACTGTATCTGTTGAGCTTCTTCCCCTTTCTGCATGGATAACACAGATGGCTGCTGCCAGGGAACTCCCCCATGAGGCTGGACATCATGTGGGCTGGCAGGGGCATGTATCCATTACTAGGCACAGCTCCATAGGCCAAGACACACCAGCACACATGCGAAGAGAATGGAGGATCCCAGCTGGTTCAAGTTTGCTATGCCAGCCAACATCTGCCTCTGCACCTCCTGCAAGCTGCAGTGCTCTGGCTCTGCCCCATCTCACCCAGTGTTTATTTCCAGTGTGGGCTGCAGGATCTGGGCACGCTCCTCGTTGGTCTTGGCCAGCTGCTGCATGCGCAGAAAGTGGCGGGCAGCCCCCATCTCAAGCACAGTGATCATGGCCGGATGGGTGTCCAGACGTGGAGTCACCTGTCAGAGGAACAGCAAACAGGGACAAGATGGGAAATGCACATGGCTCAGAGGAAGGGGAAAGTAAAGGGCTCAAAGGCTGGATTTCGGCAGGGAGGAGAATGTTCCCTTGTTGCAGAATCTACACAAAGCTCATAGAGAACTTACAGCCACACCCAAGAAACTGCCTACAAGAGGGTGAAAGCCCATGGCTTGAATGGTACATGTGAGACACACTGAGCACAGGGTGGGGAGCTTGGATGATGTGGCTCTGTCTCTGCCTCTGCCACTATCTACCTACCCGAAGGTTCTGCCTCTGTCTATTATCTGCCTACCTGAGGGTTTTCTGTAGCGTCCATCCCCACACCAGGAAAGTGCTGTCCTGAATCCTTTCTCTGCCCTCAAGCTAGTCCCATCCATCCCTCACTGTACAGAGGCAGAGCAATTCAGATCTTCTACCCAGAGGGCTGTGTAGGATGAAGATGAAGCTCTGTCTCAGTTCACTCTAATGCTTACAGAGGGAGAATTCAAGGAATTATTCTCCCACCAAATGTTACTGATCATTCCACGTACTCTCTACCACCCTAACTGCTCCCTGGTAGCCCTAGTGTACCTGAACAATTCAACCACAATCACACCTTTGAGCCAAGCCAAAGAACTGGTGTCTGGAGGAGCATATCCTTGCCACTGGAGTGCCTCTCTGTGTCCAAGCAAAATGCAGGACAATGTAGCACTTTAAAGACTAACAAGATGGTTTATTAGATGATGAGCTTTCGTGGGCCAGACCCACTTCTGAGGAAGTGGGTCTGGCCCACGAAAGCTCATCATCTAATAAACCATCTTGTTAGTCTTTAAAGTGCTACATTGTCCTGCATTTTGCTTGGACACAGACCAGGAGCTGTGCTGCCACGGTCCTGTCAGTCTAATAACCCCTCCAGTTCTTGGAGTGTCAACAGAGCCTGTCATCTTATACAACCTAACTCTCTAGCTAAGTCCCTGCTCAGTTGATCTCCTTTCATAGCTAGCAGAAAGGGCCAAACAAAGAACTCGAAGTCCAGCGGTCTTGGACTCACTCCTCTGGCCTCTAACATGCCATGACCATTTTCCCTCTCCCTCCTTAGTCTGGGTATGAGGCATAAGAACCCAGGCCCACCCAATCCACTGGACTCCAGCTCAGGGCCCTTGTTCAGAGTAGCCATAATTAAACTGTATCAAGAACCTAATTGTTCCCTGAGCTGCTGCTCCTTATCCGTGGGCTTTCCAGCCTCATGTTCAGCTTCTCAGTTTGTTAGTACCAGCTTCTCTCTACAGTCCCTCTGCCTTGCTAGCAGCCCTCCTGCCACACAGCCCTTTAATACCCCAGCTGCCATGGAGCTGCCTATCAGCTCAGGCTGAGCAGGCAGCCAGTCTGCATTAGCCCTGCGGTTGCCAAACCAGCCTGGGGTGTACAGACCCGAGGACAGTGTCCAAAGGAGCAAGGCTGAAACTGACACACCAGAGGAAAGACAAGAGCTGGGTTTATGTAGGAATATTACTGAAAGGGCCATGTAGCTCCAGCCTTATCCCTTGAGACGCGTGAGACCATCAGATACACTCCTAACATCTTGCCCTGGCAGAAGGGAAATGGGGGTAGACTTATTATTTATACAACTATGGGATCCAGTGGCCCAGCTGAAGAGAAGGCCGCATTGTGGCAGGTGCTCCACATAACAGTTAAAGACCATCCATGCCCTAAGGCACCTACAGTCTGACTAGACAAGACAAAGGAAGAACAATTTATATCCATTTAACTGGTGGGGAAATTGAAGCACAGAGAAATCAAGTGATTTGCCCAAGATCAAATTTGGCTGAACCCACATCTTCTGGGCCCTAGTTCAGAGCCTTGACCACCTACCAGACTTCCTCTTTTCTGAGGTTATGATCTATATAGGTCTTTTCCACCTTTAGCTCCTGGAACACTACAGCACACGTACCTTAACATTGGTGATGCGAGAACCCAAAGCATTTCTCATCCAGGCCATCAGCTCCTCAGCCTCTTTCTCCGTCAGGCGTTCTGCAGCTGTGGGGATAGGATGGGTTACATCACAGTACTGCCATGGGGCAGCACTAGGGATTGTGTGCTTTGTTCCTGAAAAGCAGCTTTGTCCATGTCACATACCCATCTGCTCTCCCACAGACAGAGAGATTGCACTAGGTCGATACACACGGATCATTCCAGAGACCACCCCATGCACAAAGAGAGAAAGCTTATTCCATCCCAAGCCCTACCCTCTGGCATCAGCAATGTCTGCTATTATAATAAAGTGGGCTTTAAAACTAGGTTAGACCAGAGAAGCCAGTGAACTTAATTGTTTTAAACAAGAAAACTGCTTGGCTCCTGTCCATAGCAGACAAGGCCTGCTCTCCTACTAGTCAGGGCAATGTTAGATTTCTTTTGTTTTAAAGAGAAGAATTTACAGCTCTGCTACAGCGCTCCTGCTTCAGGGGTCTCAGTGTCGTTATTGAGACCTACATTTAGTCCTTTGTGCTTTACAGCCACTGGCCTCATGAATCCTCAGCCACCTAAATAGCATCACAGGACAGGGCAGGCTGGCTAAAAGTCTCCCAGAGTGGGCATGCAGCACTGATTTAGGAGGAGCAGCTGCATCCCTCCCCCCTTTCTTCAGAGAAGGTGGGGAAGTGACAGGAAAGGAACTTGCAAGAATTGGCCACCAGCAGTTTAGCCACTATACAAGGAGACAGCTGCCCAGGTCAGGGCCAGGCCGGCACTGCAGAGGCAGGATACAAACTAGAGAGCGTTTTGCTCACATGCCTTAATGCTTTCTTGAGGGAGGACATGAAATTAGGGTATTCTCACTAGCTACCACCTTGGCTAACCTGTGGGAGACTTGGCCCCATCTGGCTGCAGAGCTGGAGAATGTACATGCTGAGCCCAGGACCATGCACCAACTGTAATGGGGGGAAGAGATGCCCTACCTGGGCGGCTCTCCTCAAACTTCTCTTCCTTATAGTGGTCAACAACGATGTCAGTCTCTACTGAGATCAGCTTCTTCTTATCAAACTCCCGGAGGTGCAGGAGCGTCAGCTCATCAAACTGCTCATAGCAAAACAGCACCTGTGGGAAAGGACAGTGAGCAACGCGGAGTCCAGGGACGAACAGGACTGCCGGCAGCTCAGAGCTGCATGGACAGTTGCCTCTTCCCTTTCCCAAGAGCATCATGAACGAATGCTTGCAGATCTGCACTGCCCCTCCCTTTACAGCCACTGGCCTCCTGACTCCTCAGTGGCCTAGTGAGCTTCAAGTTGCTCCTCCAACTCCCTGCTCCCCAGACACACATAACACGCCTCAAGGACCCATGGTGGTTTGCTGGCTGACACTGCTGAGCTCTGTGCAAACCCCTCCCCTTGCAGAAGCAGATCGTACCATCAGCAGCTGAGGTCAGGGCTGTCCCTAAGGCATGGAGGATGCCATTCTGCTACGCACTGCATAACCTCACACGTATGGTGCTAGTGCATGGAGGACACCATTTTGCTCTACAAAGTGGCATCCTCTGCACTGCATGATCTTGCGTGCACCATATGTATGAGAGCACGCTGTGCAGAGGATGCCACTTTGTGGAGTAAAATGGTGGGGCCTCATGTATGGTGCATGTGCGGTCATGCGGATGGAGGATATCATGTTGCTTAGCACCCTGTATGCTGTCTGGGGTCCCGGAAGGAAATGGTTCATTATAATGGGGGTTACACTGGGGAACAGTGTGGGAATCTCTGCCTTGCCATGACATACAAAATCTCAGCACACCCAGAACAGCCTTCTCTTGAAGAGGTCTCCTCTTTGCAGATGCAGTGCTGAGTCAAGAAACTGCCAATTTTAGATACAACTGCTCATCCTTGAGTATTCTGGACAAACTGGAGAAATGGTCTGAGGTAAATGGGATGAAGTTTAATAAGGATAAATGCAAAGTACTCCACTTAAGAAGGTACAATCAGTTTCACACATACAGAATGGGGAGCGACTGTCTAGGAAGGAGTACTGCAGAAAAGGATCTAGGGGTCATAGTAGACCATAACCTAAATGTGAGTCAACAGCGTGACACTGTTGCAAAAGAAAAACATGATTCTGGGATGCATTAACAGGAGTGTTGTGAGAAAGACAACACTCCTGTTGTCTTTCTTCATTCTTCCACTCTACTCTGCACTGATTAGGCCTCAGTTGGAGTATTGTGTCCAGTTCTGGGCACCACATTTCAAGAAAGATGTGGAGAAGGACCAGAGAAGAGCAACAAAAATGATTAAAGGTGCAGAAAACATGAGCTATGAGGCAAGGCTGAAGAAATTGGGCTTGTTTAGTTTGCAAAAGAGAAGACAGAGGGGACATGATAGCGGTTTTCAAGTATCTAAAAGGGAGTCAAAGGGAAGAGGGGGAAAATTGTTCTCCTTGGCCTCTGATGATAGGACAAGAAGCTATGGGTTTAATTGCAGTAAGGGAGGTTTAGGTTGGACATTAGGAAAAAACTCCTCACTCTCAGGGTGGTTAAACACTGAATACATTGTGTAGGGAGGTTGTGGAATCTCCATCACTGGAGATATTTAAGAGCAGGTTGGACAGACATCTATCAGGGATGATCTAGAGACAGTGCTTGGTCCTGCTATGAGGGAGGGGACTGGACTTTATGATCTCTCAAGGTCCCTTCCAGTTCAAGTAATCTATCCTCCAGATTTCATCCCCACCCTCTGCCACAGATCCATGGAAGGCCTATGAAATGGACAGTGTGGAATACGCCCACCTGATCCTATCAGATCCCTGCTCAGTGCCCAAGAGGAAATGAACCTCCTCAGAGGGCTCTGCTAAAACTCACAATGGGAGATTTGCTGGAGAGGAGGAGGATGGAGACAGAATTCTTGCTGCCCTGGGGAGGAACTATGAAAGGTGAGGAGAACCATCCAGGGACACCTGGAATAGGCCAAAGGCCCAGCCACTGACCCGCTCCTCACTCACCACCCTGGTACGGACACTGCCCACTAATGACTGGCTCTGAGGTATGACAGTGGTACTGCCGTGGTGTTAAGCCCAAGGACATGCAAGAGCCCACAAATGTTCCCCAATACAGACCAATACCAACTCAGCACTTTGTGAGGCTCCCAGTACCCTTCAATAAACCCTTCCCCACTGCAAGGTGAATATCCACGCCCAAGAGGAGGCAGAGGACTGATAGGCTCCAGCAGCACCGCAGAATGACTGAAGATGAAGTAACACATGGAGAGGGCAGGGAGCAACATATCCCTGGTTTCCTCTCCTCTGCAGCAGCTCTGCTGTATCCTGCAAGCCTGTAAAATACACCAGACCCAAGGAACCCTACAGAGAGGAACCTGGGCCTAGCAGCAGAGGCAGCACTCTGGGAGGCTGATACCAACTAGTATCCTGCTGTGACACAGTACATTGCTCACCCACCTCCATATCCTTTTTCTTCATGGCTTCGAAGTATGGCGAGTGCTCAGCTAGGTGCCGATTGGGCGCACACAGGTAGTAGATATTCCGGCTCCCTGCCTTCATGCGGCTGGCATATTCAGTCAGGCTGGTCAGCTGGCCTGCAGGCAGCGCTGAGGACTCATAACGCAGCAGCTTCGCTATGTCCTCCTAGGTGAGGAAATTTACCGAGTCAGAGGTGTGGTCTCCCATGCAAGGGACTGCGAGGGGCCTGACACCTGCTTGAGTTTCTGCCCAGGTCTTTGCAGTGCCACAGACAGTATACAGCAGCTAACTGGGGGCAACAGGTCATTGGAAAAACTGGATGAGCTTCTCCTCCACAGCACAGACAGAAGGAAATGTGGTTTCTTTGCAGCAGGGGTCTGCAACCTTTTTAAGCACAAGGTCACTTTTAGAATTTAAGTGCAATCCAGGATCTACCTCAAACCAAACACCCTGGTCCCTCCTCCTCTCCGCCCCTTCCCTGCCCCTGCTCACACCATCCCCCCCATTCACATTTATCAGGCAGCGGTGCGGGGGATGCAGGCTCTGATCTTGAGCTACAAGATTTGAAGTGTGGGAGGGACTCTGAGCTAAGCCTGGGGCAGGGAGTTGAGGTGCAGGAGGGGGTTCGAGGTGCAGGGTCTGTGAGGGAGTGTTGGTGCAGGGGGGACTCAGTGCTAGGACAGGAGTTTGGGATGCAGGAGGGGTTCAGGATTGGGGCCCAGAATGCAGGCTCCAGCTGGGCACCGCTTACCACAGGTGGCTTCTGGATGGTGGTACAGTGGGGCTAAGGCAGGCTCACCCCTACCCTGGGCCTGCATCACTCCCAAAAGCAGCCAGCAAACTCCCTTCACCCCCAACCCTCCTCTGCTCTGTGGAGATGGGGAAGTGGGAGAAGGGCACCCAGATATCAGCAACTCCTCCTCTTCTTCTCATGCCTTGCACAGCAAGCAGGAGGCTCCCAGAGGGCGGAGAGCAGCTCCAAGGCAGAGAGCAGGAGCAGCACGGCAGAGCTGAGAGGAGCAGATGAGGTGCCAGCACTTAAAAGCCTCCTGGCCAAACCGGTCAGGATCACCCGTCAAAGGCTCTGAGATCTACCAGTCGATCCCAATCGACTGGTTAGTGACTACTGCTTTACAGGGTGTTTTCATGGCTTAAATCCAAGGACGGCATCCCCTAAAACTGACTATCCACTACAACCCCCAAATCTTTTTAGAGTCGCTGCTTCCCAGGATAGATTCCCCCATCCTGTAGGTGTGGTCTACATCCTTGGTTCCTAGATATATGCATTTACATGTAACCATGTACAAATGCGTAGACGTCCGTTTCATAGTCGGAGATATCTGCATCTGTGTATCATGTTTGCAGATTGGACGTGGATGCACATTTTGCATCCCCGCAGGGCTCTACACATAGTGTGTGCTTGAGCCCAGCTTACCAACCCATCCATCTGCATCAGTGACCTGTTCTCCATTATTTACCACTCCCCTAACCGTTGCCTCATCTGCCAACTTTATCAGTGATGATTTATGTTTTCTTCCAGGTCATTGACAAAGACGTTAAACAACATAGGGCCAAGAACCAGTCTCTGTGGAACTCTACTAGGGACACACCCACTCAATGGTGATCCTGTTTACAACTACATTTGGAGTTCTGTCAGGTAGCCTGCTTTTAATCATGAGCCACGTTAAAAAACTAGAAAGAGAAAAAATTAAGCAAAATGTCTTTTGATAGCTAGTCAAATAACTTACAGGAGTCTATTACATCATCACTATTATCAACCAAACTTGTAATCTTACCAAAAAAGAGATATCAAGTTAGTTTGACAGGATCTATGCTCCATAAACCCACGTTGATCAATACTGATTATATCACCCTCCTTTAATTTTTGATGAATCAAGTACTGTCTCAGTTGTCCGTATCTTGCCCAGGATGGATGTTAGATTGACAGGTCTATAATTAGGGAGGTGGGGGTGTTAATTTTGGGATTAATAACAGCTAGTCCCAGGGAGAAGGCATATTTACTCTGTCTAGTGTGTGGGCTGTGTCTGAGAAAAGATGGGGAATGACACCTGCCCATACACCCCTTTCTAAAACCTTGTAGGACACTGGAGATCAGAATGTTTTGGAACATTTGTAACAAGGTCGCATGAACAAATGGTAGGATCCAGTGAAGAGAATCACTTTCCTGCACCTCCCTGCCTTATCCCAAATCTGGACAGCGGTCTGTTCTTTTTCACGCCAGCCAGATACTTAGTAAAGTATGTACCTTGACATCCTGCTCTGCTATAGTCACAATCCCCTCTCTCATGAACAACCCGTAGTCCTCAAAGAACTTGGCATATTTCTCAGGGTCCTTCTTGCTTTGGTCAATGAAAAACTTGATCAGCCTTTTCTGCAAAACGTCCCGGAGTTTCCTGCAGTAAGTACAAGTATTTTCAAAAGCAGTCGATGGACCAAGGTGTTCCAAGGTTTTAGGTTAAAGCCTAACTACAAAACACTATGGTAGAAAGTCTAGCTACAAAACATTCATCAGCTACAAACCTGAAACACTAGAATGATAAAAGCTAATTACAGATAACTAAATGTCTTCACAGATAAAGGAGAAAGCCAATGCTTTGGACAATGGTGGTTCTGACAGACAATGAGGCAGTGAGAAGGAGGTAAAGAGGTGGTCACAGTCTGCACTGTTTTTTAGCTTCTCAATCCGGGGCATGAAGTGAGCTGAACTGCCCAGCTCACCTGCCAGGTCTTGATCTGAAATGGCATCCCATAGCTTATCACCACATACCCAGAGATGGAGTAGCACTCTCACTCACCCCCTGGGAACCAGCCCCGCTGTTTGCTCACCTGATGAGGGTGCTCTCCTGCAGCAGCTCCCTGCTGAGGTTCAGGGGAATGTCCTCACTGTCGACAACTCCTAGAACAGGCAGTGACATGAGTAGGGTACAACTGGACCTAGAGTACTCAATCCCTTGCTAACTTCTCCCTCCCCACAAATATCTAGCAGATGTCTCACGTCATCATCCTGGCAGCCTTTAGAAACTAATCTGCAGCCACTGCCTTAAGTGACACTAAAGGAAGATGCTGTTGCAGCCCTTCATACACTCCAGCTCACTTCCCAGCCAGCCTACCTCTGAGGAAACGCAGCCATTTTGGCAGGATGTCAGCGGCTTTGGTCTGGATGAGGATTTTGCGGCTGTAGAGGGCTACACTAGAGCCCAGCTCCCTGCTGACATCAAACATGGATGGCTTCTGTGGAAGCAAGAGGGAAAGGAGACACACCATCAAACCCCAGGGGGCACTGCTTGGGGCCCTGAGCAGCGTTCATATGAAAGCATCATGCTCTGCTGGTACTATGGGTTTCAGAGGTCTGAAGTGATCACAGCCTACACTGAACTGTAGAGGGCTACACTAGAGCCCAGCTCCCTGCTGACATCAAACATGGATGGCTTCTGTGGAAGCAAGAGGGAAAGGAGACACACCATCAAACCCCAGGGGGCACTGCTTGGGGCCCTGAGCAGCGTTCATATGAAAGCATCATGCTCTGCTGGTACTATGGGTTTCAGAGGTCTGAAGTGATCACAGCCTACACTGAAGATTTCTCGGGTACATAAAAGATGCTGCGGATGTTGAGGGGGGCGTCCGTCTTGTAGTGCAGGGTGTAGCGGGGCTTGTCATAAGCCTGGGCTATGAAACGGTAGAACTCCTCATGCTGCCATTCACCAATCTCCTTGGAGTCCAGCATCCAGAGTGCCTGTGGGGGAGGAGGATACTTAAATTCCCACCAGTCTGGTAACTGTGACACTCCCCCTCCCCCCCGACAGCCACACGCTGACACATTTGCTTTTTATTCTGCCCCTCTCCTAACACATTCCATCATTCTGGACAGGGTCCTGAGCTGGGCCGCACTATTACTAATTATGGCCTGGCCTTTCAAAGCTGACAACATCGTATCCTGCACAACCATGGGACACTTAAGGATTCCCACCTTACAAAGACTGGCTCTCCCTGCAGCCAGATCTCTCTCCTCTCAAGGATTCCATAGGGAATCCAGCAAGTGCCTTGACAATGGATGTTGGGCTGATTTTATTTCTGTGGCCAAACAACGTATCACACTTCAGTGGGAAGAGGCTCCAATGTAGCATTGGCTAAATGACAAGTATTCAGTAATTCCTGGGGGAGGGGGGATCAGTTTCTGTAACATGGGTCCCATCTCCAAATTTAAGTTTGCAGGGAATCAGTCTTGCTGTGTGGAAAAATGGAAGAATGAGAACCAGGACAGGGACCTTGGATAGGAATAGGACACCTGATTGAGACGACTATTGCTGCCATTCCCTTGAAGAGAACAGACTTGAGTGTTACAGCCTGTGTTGCTAGTGCCAGGTTGTCAGCTTAAATGAACCTGCAGCATGTCATTTGGGCCATGTCACTTACATACAAGTTAAAAAGGAACGGAGCTAGTACTGATCACTCCAGGAGGCCAGCGTGCAGTTTCTACTTTTTGCTAACCTGACTTCTGAGAGGCTCACAAGGTGCGACGGGGAACATTCACGTGGTTCTCCCTGTTAAGTACACTGTATGTGCACATTAGGTGTGTGGGGGGTATGAATTAATGCCACCACTTTGGAGACAGAAGATAGTCAGCGACTTGCAATCACTGGACTCTACATGACGACAATGATAGAGACAGGAGAGGTCACAGACTTCATGCACTCAAGCCATAAAGCACAGGTTAAACTGCACACCCCACAAATTCTAGGTACACAGCGCAGTTAGCAAAACTACCCTATCCCAGAAGATCACCTTGATTATGACAATCTTGTAGTCCATTGAGACGAAGAAGGCCCACTCATGCGGCTCATTTACTAGCCTTAGTTGCCCACTGCTGCCCTAAGAAATCATCACTACTTCACCCATTGGCAGTCCCTGGTCATTTCTGGACCTATTCACTGATCTCCTGACCCCACTGCAAGACTACAAGTTTCCCTTCCAATCACTGCCCAACCCACGACTCTCAATCTTACCTGTAAAGTGTTGATGCGTCGCCCATTGAGGTAGAGGGGAAAGCTGATGAAGTTGCTATATTTTGTCACCACCTCTGGAACAGAGAGAAGCACTTTCAATTAAAAAAAAAAAATCCAGAATACAGGTTTTAATCAGATTTCAGCTTCCACATTGTTGACACCGGGATGGGCCATGAGAAACTGTTGTGTCAGCACAGATTAGCCCCTTTGAAGTGTTCCTGCTCCCACTGCAGCCTGCTCCTACTCCCCATAGCATTGAACCACAGCTCATTTGGTAATCAGAAAAAAAATACATGGACTGGAGGAGCTAAGAAAAGAGCAACATCAAAAGTTAGCAGTCTGGAGTGACTGAATATTTAGCTTAGCAAAGGGATGGCAACTGGAAGTAGAGGCAGTGAGACTGGTCTATAAACATATGAAATAGCTGAAGATCTAAGTGGGAAAGGAGTATTTAATGTAGCACTCTGACGTACAAGTAGGAGTAATGGGACAGACAAAAGGGAACATGCTATCAGGAAGGGAGTAAACTGCAGCAAGGGAGGTTTAGGTTAGAAAAACTTCCTAACTGTCAAGGTGGTGAAACACTGGAATAAATTGCCTAGAGAAGTTGTGGAATCTCCATCACTGGATATATTTAAGAGCAGGTTGGCTAGACATCTATCAGGGATGATCTAGACAGATTATGCTTGGCCCTACCATGAATGCAGGAGACTGGACTTGATGACCTTTCGAGATCCCTTCCACTTCTAGTATCCTATGATTTTATAAGTCTTGACTGAACATCAGTGAGATCGACTAAGCTGTAGAACCCTCTCCTGAGAGAAGGGATGGATTGGTTAGGGCATATAAAACTGGACCCAGCAAAACGCCAATAAACCTCCGGCAAATAATCCTGCACTGGCCCAGGGAATGGAGAGGACAACGTAAAAGGACTTTTCTCTCTTTTAGGGTATGTCTAGACTTCATGCCTCTGTTGGCAGAGGCATATAAATTAGACATACTGACAGTCAATGAAGCAGGGATTTAAATAGCCCCTGCTTCATTAGAATAAAAATGGCCGCCGTCTTGTGCCAGCTCAGCTGTTTGTCAGCACAAAGCGGCAGTCAAGATGAGGATCGGTCAGCAAGGAAAGCCTTTGCCGACTGATCCCTTATGCCTCGTGAAACGAGGTTTACAGGATCGGTCGGCAAAAGCTTTCCTTGTTGACCGACCCCCGTCTTGACTGCCGGTTCGTGCCGACAAACAGCTGAGCCGGCACAACACGGTGACCATTTTTATTCTAATGAAGCGGGGGATATTTAAATCCCCGCTTCATTGACTATGTCAGTATGTCTAATTTATATGCCTCTGTTGGCAGAGGCATATAGTCTAGACATACCCTTACTGCTACTGTTACAACTTTGAATGAAGAAGTGCTAATGTGCCACACTAATCTCAAAACATGGGTTGAGAAGAACATAGGGACAGTTAAAGGGTGGGGCTCAAGTGTTTCCATGTCACCCAGCTTTTTCTGTGGCTCACAACTCCCTGTACCTTTCACTTGTCAGGATAGAATTTAAGAAGCTTGGTTTCTGCCCAGGGCAAATGAGTTTCTTTAGCAAAACTATTCAGCTATTTGAAAGCGAGAGACAGAAGGGGACACTTTCCCATTAGACAAGGAATTCTTCATTTTAAAAAACCTCAGCTTTCACACCTAAACAGTGTGAAGTAAAGATATGGAAAACTGGTAAAAATAGGATTCTTAGGGAGAAGTATATTTCAAGGTCTCAAGAAAAACTGGTTTAAATTTGGCCATGATAGAACCATTTTAAAATGCAATTCACACGTGCATGTTTAGTAAAATATTTTAAATACATAATCCAATGTGTACAATGAAACAAAATAGGGATCCATGAAAATAACAGCAAGAGATCACATCATTACATACCACACTGAAATGCCTATGAAGAGATGGGCAAAGTTAGGGTTAGCAGGCTATGGAACCTTCCCATTTGCTAACCACACCTTGCAATCTTTATGGTTCTTTTAACAGTTTTCCTCCTACCTTGTGAAATATACAGAAGTAGGCCAATGTTAGAAAACTAGGAGTTTAAGCTCCCAGACAGGTTGCTAGAAAAAGCCTGCTTGCTAATTCAAAAGGACTTTTCTTAAGGAAATGGGAAAATCTGATGGGGGTTGAGTTGGCAGCACCCTGTATAATTCTAGATTAGAACAGAGGAAGAATGGGGTGGAGCTATGATCTTTGGGGGTGGGGCAAGCGGCTCCTGGATTATACCAACAGGAGTGTCATCCTACTTTTGTGAGCAGCACCTGTGGTGAGCAAAGGACAGATCATCTCTGCCCAAGCTCACCCTTAAAATCTCATCACCCTCTGCCCTTCCCAGGCCCCTTAAGCAGAGGATCCCAGAGCACTTTACAAATATCAGCTGCTTCACTGTAATAGCTCTCAAGTGACAGAGAACTTCTGAGGAGCAGACTCCTCCCAGCTTTATAATACTGCGCATGGAACTTTCCACAGCTCCAGGTAGCCCGAGAGAATTAGGGCTCACCTGGGACTGCTCACAGGAAGAGAAAGCACTGCAGCAGGAAGGCTATAGAGAAGATATGCCCACAGTGCTTCACTCCTTCACTGCAACCCTGACTCCCATCCACAGGGCTCCAAAAGCTCCGCTGATCTTCACAAGAACTGCAGCACTGGTGTGGAGCCCCACCAGGGTGGGATTGTAAAGTGGGGAGACCTCCCAGAGCTCTGGCAATGAAATGTCAACTTTTATGGGGGAAAGACAGCATCACCCAACAGGCAACTTACAAATGTATAGGCATCAAAGGCTGGGTGCCTGGCCAGTGCAGGAGACTAGGAGTCAGGACACACTGGGGTCTAATCTAAGATCTGTCACCACATCACCAGCTCTCTAGCCCTCCGTGAGATGGGGACAGCAATCCTCAGGTGGGAGGGGCTACCAGAGTCCAAGGGACACAATTACATTTTCTCCCACGGACGATACTGGTGTGCAGAAGGCACCGTTTCCCCACCCTCCTCACCTTTGACTCTGTCCTCATTCGCAAACTCTTTACACTCCTCTTTGAGATGGATAATAATTTTGGTCCCAGTTCTGACACCAGAGGCTTCTGCGATCTCAAACATTCCTGAGCTAGGATTAGAAACACAGTATTGCATAGAAAACTCTCCCTTTTTCTCATTAACAAGCAAGAGTGAAAAGAGATCATTTCATTAACCAAAGACGAGCTTTTCAAACCACGAACAACTCCTCAGCACCCCGCTCCCATTGATGTCAATGGACATTGGGCACGGTGGCATTTATAAGCTGTCACCCAGATTTATATCTGGTACAGCCAGCAGAGACCACAGCTCCCAGCAGATACTGACAGCATCATTGCATGCTGGATGATGTCATCTGTCTGGGCTAAACCGCCATTTAATACAGATACTTGCAGCATTTAATACAGATACTACGGGGTCTGAACAGGCAGACTGCATGGATTTCTGTTGGCCCACGCACGTGTGCCCCATCTATGATTTTTTCCACTAGACTGCAGTGGTACACTGTGACAAAAGGCTGCTGAGCTCAGTGACAGGGCCTTCTTTGCTACCAATGGTCATCTCCTCGCTTTCTAGTTCAAAGAGACTGCTCCATCTAGGGATAAGTTGCGTTTAATCAACTAATTGACTAGTTGATTGAATTTCCATCAACCAGTTGATTAGTCAATAAGGGGGGGGCTGCTGAGCCATAGCGGGGTTAGTTCCCCTCAGGAGTTAACCTTGCTGTGGCTCTGCCTTTTAAATGTATGAAGAGCGATCAGGCTCTTCATACATTTAAAAGGCTGAAGCACAGCGAGCGGGACGGGGCGCGAGCCAGGACAGCCGATTCCCGGCTCGCACCCAATTCCCCCCACTGCACTTCAGCCTTTTAAATGTATTAAGAGCCTAGCAGTTCTTAATACATTTAAAAAGCAGAGGCGCAGCTTCTGGGACGGGGCACAAGCCAGGAATCATCTGACTCCCAGCGTGCACCTGGTCTCCTGCTGCACTTCAGCCCCCCGCGGAGATGGTGCTAGGGGGAACCGGCTTTTAAGCTGGCTCCCCCCAGCACCGGTTCCTGCTCCCCATCCTTGCTGCCTCGGGAGGAGGGGAGGAGAGGAAGCGACTAGTTGACTAGTCACTTACATCCCTAGTTCCATCTGCCTAAGGATCAAATGCTTCAAGGAGCAGCACCAATACAAGGGTGGGAAACACACTGTGAAAGGCGCAGGATTGGCAGCGACCCTGACAGGACGATTACATTTGGCACTGCAAAGCAGACCATCATCTGGAACACAACAGAAGCCAAAGATTCATGTGTAAAAAGAGTTTTCAGGGATTTGTAACTCAGCAAATTCTTTCTTCCCACAGGCTTTTAATAGGATGTGGAGCTTTTCACATCTAGGGCTCTGGTCCAAATCTGGCACAAGCCTGCAGTAACTCAAAGCTTCTGCCATGCGATGGACATTCGGTGGCTCGTGGGAAACGAGTGGGTGACCTATAGGGAAGCCCAGCTCCCAGCAGGTGTGTGCCCTTGTTATAGCACACTACGGCAGGCCTCCTTGTTGGCACACTCAGCAAAACGACCAGCCCCTGGAGACTGGATTGCCTCTGTCCTCTGCCCGCAGCATCGCTCCATGGCAGGGCTGAGGTTCTGGGGGCAGAGTACAGCCAGTCCTGGGAGCTGTCACTCTGGCACACTTAGCAGGACTGACTTCACATGGAGCTGTCTTGCTGAACCAGCCTGTAGCAGTGTCG